CCATGTACATTTCTGTGAGCGCGTGTCCCATTCAATAAACGGCCGTGACCCAGAAATGGTGTTGTTGAGAAGAGCATTTATGGGTCACGGCCGTTTTCTGCATGGGACACGCTCCCAAAGTATGTCCATGCTAACACACCCTGCAGGAGTGTTACACATATTGTAGGGTCATCGCCAGTATGCTCTTTCAAAAGACTTCTATCATTTACGGATGAGAGTTGAGGCAACGTTACCACCACAGCTGTTTTTCTTGTCCAGCATGGGGAGTTATTTTGTTTGTCCAATACTTCCACATCATGGCAAGCCAAGCCCCCTTCCTCTCCCACCGAAGCAGTTACAATTGTTCTTATAGGCGCGTTATTATAACGCGCCTATAAGAACAAGGTGAAATTCATGAACTGCAGCTGTAGCCCACTCGCTCTTTGATGTGACTTTGAATGCACCAGACTTTGAGGACCCTGCGCCTCCTCTCTATGCGTTCCTATGTGATGTTTTTCAAGAAGTGGCTTGCTGGATTGTTGAGCGCAAATGTAAACTTGCAAAACAGCCCGTCCTCTACACTGCTATCTTGTGTTTGAACCGCCTCCCTGGGAGTATGCATCGCAATGCCTGTGTGTGTAGTTGTGGGGCGGTCCAAAGGGTTGACGTCCCATTTTATTCATATTCTCTTCGGGGAAATATTTGATGTTCATTAAGGTTGTCCGTAAAATAACGCATTGTTTTTTTCCATTTGCCAACAAACTCGCTGGACGTAAAGTAAACCCGAGAGTTCCACCACGAGTTTTGCGGACTGACCTCCAGCAAGGTACCTGCCCGCAACAAACTCAAGTCTGGTAATCGTTGTGCCGCCCGACGGATCACGGGCACCTGCGCGAATACTCGCTGAAGCGAATATTGCAGCTCGCATATCGATACGACCCGTGCAGTGTGAGACTCGTTTGTGCTGATGAAAAGAACGGAAGACCCACTTCGTTTTCCTGCAAGACGGGTCGATCCGGCACTGTTGTGATCAGGCGGATGTGAAACTCGTGGAAAACTCACACGCCCCCAGCTTTCGATATGCTAGGAGTTTTGCCAAACGCGTTGTTTGAAAATTGTGCGTTCAGAAAATCCGAGCAACTCGCCGCCAACACGCGTTTTCGTGACTTTACGGACAACCTTATTGAAATTAATCCAAACTGTGACTGCATGTATCGGACTCTACATAAAGAGCATTTGGATATTCCCTTCCTGCTGTTCAAAGCCTTTAATGACACTCGTGGAAAATCCTTGCGCTTTTCTTTAACACGATGTGCAAGACAGAGAAATAGCCTTTTCAGAATGTCGTTTCTATCTTTACAACAACCTGGGTCCCTCGGCGGTGAGACTTCTCTGGATGTATAGGACATACCTGCAGTATTTCGGCATCCTACCATCTTCACCATCACTCTTTCATCCCCGTCTCATCCGATCGCAAGAGGAGCGCCAAATCGTCTTTTTGTATCCAGGAACGTGAATCTGAATAATCTACTGAATTTTCTCAATCTCAGCCCCGCTCAGCATGTTCCGAATGTTTGAACAACCTCGCTACCGCGGTACAGCGCCGTCGTCAAGCACCTCTTCCTCCTCTTGTGAATGACTTGGGATTAGACTGCGAAAAGAGGACACTCGTTTCAGCCCCTCAAAAGAATATGACCTCTAAGACTCGTTGCCGATGTTGCCTTCGAAAAAAAGTAACCACCGTCTTGGGTTGCAAGAAGTGCAGCAAGAGTTCAAAATTACCGGGCGAAGGGGGAAGTATAGACCTCTTTCATCTACAGGTTGAGAAGGCTCTCGGTCGACGCTTTCAAAACTGTTCCGCCTTCGTCCCGGGATGTTTTGCATGCTCGCTCGCTCACCCGATGACCAATGTCTCTCGCTTGAGATTTTTGGCCGCACGCTAATTCAGTCTTCGACAGGGACGCAGTGGAAACGGAGGTAAATTTAGTCACCACGACGTATCCGTGTACAACATGAATGTGTACAACATGAAGCAATCAACTGTAATGAAGCGAAGAGATTTGTAAGCAATCATGAAAAAGCAATCATGAAAAAGCAACTTGCGCAATCCCAGTGAAGAGAAGACTGATTTCAACAAATGGCGCAAAAGTTTCTGTAAAATTACGTTTGAACGACTCTTTTGGCGGGCGCTGTTGCCAACGCCCAGCTACCCTGAGGTCTTGTTCAATGTCTCACAACAGTCCGCATGCCACCACGCTACGCATTTCCCTATGCAAATTGTCCTTACTCAAAGCGCCACCAGTTTTGTTTTCGAAGAAGGCTAAAAGAAGCTTGAACTCAGTCGTCACCTCCGTCCTTCACGCTCCCCGCTACTGACGCATCTACCCCCTCCTACCATCCTGGGGGCTATGCGGAAGAACCGCCTGCGCCTGCGCTTGCGCTCGCTCCGCGACCTAGCGCGGTCGCGCCGCTCAGCCTCTTCTCGCTGGCTCAATGAGACCCCCCGTGCGCCACCTATTGCCGCTAGCGACCGCGTCAGTGATGCTTCCTCAGCGTTTACAGACGCCAGTCTGGATGACAGGATGTCCGCAACAGAGTCACCTCGCCTATCGCACGTCTCCCATGACGCCATCTGCCTTATCTGCCTCGACGACCTTCCCAGCGGGGCCTTAGCCACCCGCTTGCCATGTTCGCACGCTGCTTGGCATCCCAAATGTGTGGCTAGATGGCTTAGGACGGCCTCGAGATGCCCCCTGTGCAATGAACAGGTCGCTGCAAAAAGGCCATGCTACCGGGAAAGGGTGCATAATACGGAACTGCCATGGAATTTGTTTGAAAGAAGGATGCCGGAGATGCATCTCCCGGTTAGGAGTAGGGAGTCGGCGGGGAGTTCGGATTTTTGGTTCAGTGGCGCAAGCGTGCATGCTTCCGATTTGGCTTGGTCGCTTTATGACAGAAGGTTGAGTAGCGTATCACGGCCGAGAAGACAGGAGCATCGGCGTTTTGTGAGGTCATTTTCGCTCATGCCCAACTGAAACAAGAGCGATGCGGCTGTAGGTAGATTGTTTTGGATTATCTGGGTGTTGATGGAATCCCCCGCAAGTCGACGCCATGTCTTTCGGGATGCACGTCGACCAGTCGATAGTAGCTCTGGGAGCTTTTGACTAGATCCGCGTTGCTTGTTGCTGTGTCTCCATTTTGTTTTTCTTGTACCGCTTATCAACTCGCTTCAATAATCACGCCAATCGAAAGAGGCGTTGTATCAGTAAAGCCACGAGCAACACCTCGCAACTCCTTCACGTAACTTTCATCATTTTCTTGCTATATTTTGCTTCGTCGTACTGTGGGGCAAAGATATCATGGGATGGATGTAGAAGATCGCTTTTAAGCAAGCCACGGAAACAAGACGAGCCCGAGAACTTTGAAGGCCGCTTATTGCCAATGCCTGCTTGGGTAGCTTGATGGAAACCAAGACATGCGAGCCGGCTCCTTGACACCCTCTGGTACTGTACAAGGCTGCCTCTCAGGATCCTTCCCAATATCATACGTGCTGTAAAAGGGTGCGAATTCTTTGATTTGCCCAATGATTTCGATTTTCGGCTTCCTGCTCCGTGCCCCGAGGGCAGGCGCCCCACCCAATCACACTGCCCTTCAAAACACCTCGAAGTCGTTCTAAACAAGGCACCCGCGAGCCGCACCTCGCACCGAGCATAGCCCAAACCGTTTGCCTGCGTCATTGCCGTTCCCTTTTCTAGCAACTTGGACCTCGCTGTCGTTCTGCGTTGCACATTATTAGCATGGTCTTCTTGTCATCGCGGACGGCCACGAATTCAGCGCAATGCCTTCTAGTTGCCTCAGCGTGCGTGATACTGTGTGTCCAGGTGCAAGCCCAAGCGGCAGGAGGCAAGCCAGCTTCAAAGCGCTCTGAATCACCGCTCATCGCCGATGAGAACACTATGCAGCTGTTCGAGATGGCCATGGCCGCTCTGGTGGTCGCCTTCGCCATCACGTTCATGTACGGGTCGATCACGAACAGGTCCTTAGCAAGGAAGGTCGCCAAGCTCATGGAAGATCTCCTCACTCTAGAGTTTGCGCATTCAGGCGTGAGCTCAACCGAGAAGCTTCTCAAGGATGGGGAGTCGTACTACTGGTATTACGCCACGGGGCGTCGCTACACTTCTGGCCTCACCGTGTTTATGGATTTAGCCAAGAGAATGGACGTATTTGCCTACACGTCGGGCTTGTTTTCAACGCCGCAAAAAGATCGCATAGTTTTTTACCTGCCTTTGACAGATGATTTTGACATGGAACCGATGTCTTTGCTACTGGTCAGGAAGAAAGAACTATTTCGTTTGCGCGAACTAAAAGAGGGAGCCCCGCTCCGAGAGGCTGAGACTGTTGCAGCCAATGTGCTTGAGCTGAACGGAATTCCAGTGGACTTCGTGTGCATGACCGAGCATTCGGATGTTGCAACAGCACTGCTACCAGAACGGATAAGGACGCTAATCCAGGAGAACGGCAAGTATATTAATTCTATCCATGTTGCTGAAAACGGTGCGTCATGGGATAGCCAATGCACTCTCACAAAGAGGCTCATTCGGGTTGATTTCTCGCTCCCAGGAAAGTCGAGCCTTCTTCCGGCTGTCCTTCAAGCAATGTTGCAAATTTCCATGCATCTGGTTGATGCAGCAGGGGAAGTGAGGCTCACGCCTGTATCAAAAAAGAAGGCCATCGAACTGCGAAAGAAGGCTGTGCAGGAAGCAGAGCGCCACATTCAAAAGAAACGTGCTGAGGAAGCGGCCACCCGACGACTCGAGAAGAAGAAGGAAGAAGAAGACGCGGTGGGGAAAATGTCCCGCGAGAAGCAGATGAAGTACGAAGAGAAAAAGCGCAAGAAGGAAATTAACGCGCGTATGCGAAAAGCAACCAGGAAATAGAGATCTTTCGATGTATTCTTTAATATATCACTTGCTGCACATATTGCATGCAAATCGCATCGATGCCAAGAGTTTTACTCCTGCATTGCGTCATGCCCAGCTTTGCCCGGTCCAGCTCCTCTCACTAACTGCTGTTCTAATTTGCCAATCATGGCTTCATCCAGTTCCCCATCGAAACCATCTGGACTTCGGAGGACTGCGCGCGTACTGATTAGCACACTTTGGGCCTCTTTGAATTCGCCAAGTTTCCAATATGCAACGGCTAAGAGGTACCACACCTCTACATTAAAGTCACATTCCCACATCACAGAACTCAGATTGACGATCGCTGCTCTCCACATTTCTACTTCTATTAACTGTTTCCCAACAGCTATTCTGAACTCGAGGGAAGGAAGGCGACTCAACGCCTCTGCTATTATCACATCTGATTGATCCCCAGTCTCAAGCATCTCCAACCCCGGAGACATTCGAAGCAAAACTCTCTTCATCGACTCTACAGCATCGTCTCTTCGCCCTTGACTCAATCTCAAGTTGGCGAGAGAAAGCATTGCCTCGACCTCGGATTCACTTCCTTCTTCGCTAAGTCCAATCGCGGCCATTACCGACTTCTCAACTTCGACATCAAGCTTGGTCGCAACCTCCTGATCGTTGCTGTCTTCAATAATACCCAGGCATATCTCAGCAATGGCGCAGTGAGCACTTGCTTCGTACTGTTGCAACTCCATAATCCGCTCGTGTTCCATTTCAGAATCTATGGACCGGCTTTCAGCCTTTATGACTTCGATCCCACGGCGCGCCATTTGCAGACCTTCCTCAGTGTTGCCCAGCAGCTGAGCCAAGTACGCATACTTCTCAAATCCGGAATTCGGCTCGTTGCGAATGGATGTCCTGAACATATCCTCCGCATCTCTCGACCGCCCCGCTTGCATGTACATAGACGCAATTTCCTCGCAGACTTCCGCATTTGGGGCTTTCAAAGCGCACGCCTTGTCACAAAGAAGAGCGGATTCCTCCAGGTTGCCGCTGGCCTCACACTCCCTTGCTTGCTGTAACAGACCCTCAAAACTCACAGAATCCGCTGCAATGCGTTGCTTCATCTTGCGTTTGTGTGCGGAACGGTTGGCGGCACGCCTGTCGCGTCGGTTCTTCCTCGCTTGGCTCGGGGCCATCTTGCTTTCACACGTTGATTATATATTCGTTGTTTTCAGCAACCAACTGCGGCTCACCGTGTCGCATGGATCAGTACCGGCTTGGTACTTATTCGACAATGCCTCAGATAAAGCATGTTCTCTGAAGCTCAGAGTCACTTTATGTAAAACGGGGGCTGCCGCAGACTGTGCCCCTGAAAGTGCAGATGCCTGTGCTCTACGGCTATACATCGGACACATGGTACATGCGACGCGGGAAGAAATCTGAAAAAATGATTTTTTTGGTTTTTGTTTGAAGCTTTTAGTTAAAATGCTTATGATCCAACTGCTGCCGACAATGCCTTTGTCGCCATGTCCCGAATCAGAATCTTAAGCCCACTTCTTAGCGGGAATAAATTGTAACTAAACTGCACCGCCGCATTGCCAGTTCTTTCATTAACGTTCAGTATCATCGCATGTATTATACTCGAGGGGTCAACAAGGAGAATTCTGGTACTCCCCTCAACTTGTTTGAGGATAGAAGTCTGTAACCGCCATCATAGACTTTCCTACAGATGTGGGGCCATTAGTCGAAGGTCTTTATTTCGTTCAACTTAGTCCGAACTATGGTCTCTTTGTTTGGAATTTTTCATGCTGACGAGTTTAATATTTCCCATCCTCCGACGCTGATGCTACTGGTTGTATAATATAAGCCACATGTTCTGCCTGTTTTCCTGCATCCGCTTTTTGTGTACAAATGTAGGCTTAATTCACGAAGTTGTCGCTGAGGGTTCATCTTCTGAGCACTGTTAGCGCAAAATTACCTAACCATTTCTTCACGCAAGATTGAAAACCGAACCGTAGCAGAGATATAGGCAGTCGGTAGAGGCTAGCATGCGTTTACCAGGTTCTTCATGCTGACCATTGTCCTTCTATTGTATCGTGCGACTCATAATAAAAATGCTACTTTCTGCGTCGCTCCTGGCCATGTCCCAAATGCTAAATGAGCCCGATGGTCTCACACACGTTTCGTGTTGACAGCACGAATACTGACAAACTAACTCTCAGTTGTCCTCGATTCAGAGCCGTGAGTTTTCGTGTCCGACAGTCGCACCACAAAAAAACTGACACCCTAGTAAGTAACTCTGCATTCGCCTGAATGCACACCAATTCCCCTTCGTGTGATGCTTTATCACAACCATCTGGGACACCAGTATAAAGTCCCACCGTAGTCCTTCCAATCTACACATTGCTTATTCGACACGATGTATAGCCAGTTGTTTTTGAGCTGAAATCTCTCTCCTTACATCCCTGCGGAGCGAGCACTCATTCCATCCGCCGCACGCTTCCATACTACTTTTTATCAAGGAGCGTGCTGCACTTCATGATGACTAACTGAGAATGTTTACTCCTTTTGTTTCTTGGCGTAGGTTCAAGACGGGGCCCCTAGAAGACCATGGAGCGCCGTAGGCCCTAGTGCTATGCCTTGCCCTCGGATCGCAGTGCCGTTTTCGATCCCTCACAACTCGGCCCTTTGTTGTGTTTGGGTTGAAAACGGCGCTGAACGAACAGTTTGGATGTTCGGGAGTGGCCCAGCAAGGCATACATTGGATCGTCGCAGGACCACCGCATCAGCTTTCATGGCTGGGGTTTGCGCTGGTCGCATCTCTTCATGGCCCGTGGGACGGTCGTGGAGAGGTGCCGCATAGAAGGCTCAAGATCTCAAGAGACCAAGGCTAGGGGAAGATAGGTGCTCGGGTCTGTCGCTCGGCATGGGCGCATGCTGGGGGCGGACACCAGGCGGAACCGGGTCACCCAGCAACAAATGTTGATGGGCAAGACCTGGGGGTTGACCTGGGGGTTGTCGTCGCTCACTACGGTGTGAGGCGTCAAGGGGGTCTTCGTTCACGACTGTTGGACGAGGGCAGGTGGGTCCTCACTCATGACGGTGGGTGAGACCTTGGTCGGGTTCTTTGCACATTGCGGTGTGCGGGGAAGGGTGGCTCTCACTCACGACGGTGGGTGGGAGCGGGATACCCCTCTTTCACTGAGGTGGAAGGGGGAGCTCTCGTTCATGACGGTGAGCGGGAGCACGACTATGGTGCCCGTTATTTTGGTGCGCTCGATGTTTTATGGGTGTGAATACTCATCAGCAGTTTGATCAGCAGCGGGATGTGGGTTTGGATGCAGGAGCAGAGATAAGCCGTCATGAGGAATCCGCAATTTCTGGACGATAGCTGCAAGTGTGTCCAAGTAGACGACGAGAAGGGTGCAAAAACAAAACGCTTCTGGTTTCAGTTGCACGGCAGGGAAATAGAAAGGGCTCACTTAGTAGCTTGGTATGCTACGGTATCGATGGGACCCCATAACAGAAATAACTTTATTGGAGCTCAATGCAGTGCAAGGGAACTTGCAGCGATTGCAAGCGTCCAAATGTATAGCATTTCATCCTATGCCAAGAAAAAGAGAGTAGGGCAGAACAAAACTTTTTTGTGTGTGACCTGTCCGCTCCTTATGCATAGGTGCTGGAAAATCTTGGCAGAAACTCAAAGTTTTCGTTACGGTTCCCCTCAACACCTACGCACATTACTCGAGAAGAAGGGGTGGGCAGATGAGAAGAGAGCGCAAACTATGTGCTATTTTAGGTTGAGTAGTTCGGAGCCTTTCTCCACAGCGAACATGGTTTACGTGGGCTGAGTTTCATTTTGACGTTTAAAGTGCTTAAACGCCTCTGCTTCTATGTCTTCCATACTTTCTCATCACTAACTAGATCATGGCTACTTCCATAAAAAGGTTTCACACTTCAAACTGTCTACCGGCCTTTCTCGATTCATCATCTTTCGACGTTGTTTGTTCCGTGCACCCAAGTCAATGAGCAGAAATTGTAAACTAGTCTGGCGCACGGTGTTCTTATTTGGTGCAAATCAAGTTCAGCTGATTCGGTGTGTTGTGTTGTTATCCATGTGGCAGTCATGCGTCACCACTGAATAAAACATACGGTACAGACTAAATGTCTCGTTCCGCTGAAGGTTAGTTTAGTGGCCTGCAAGCCCGTAAACAAGTGTCCGCGACATGATCTTGGATTACGGTCGAGAGGGTTTCTACAGTTAATTGATTGCGAAAAGCGGTCTGAGGCGCAAGCGTTCAATTGGCTTGGGATGAGGTCTAGTGTATCGTAGGGTGCAGCGTCTAAGTGAAGCTACCGCACCTCGTTCTGAAAGCTGTCTCTGGCTCTCTACTTGAGATGTGTGTGGTTACCAGCAGGATCCATTTGGGTACCGGGGAAGATCATTGGTAATGCACGCTGTGCAGATTGTGTCGTCAGTCAAATCGTGGAACGTATAGACTAATCCATGATGTGTGACGTGCGCGGCTGCCTGACGTCGCTGAGAGGCACGGTGGCGTAGAGCCCCTTACTCGGGCAGCCATGCATTGCCCGGTGCCGCCTTCCCCTGAATCCTGCTCTTTCATCCCTCTACGCCTCATACGGGCGCATATGCGATGCGCCAGGGCGGTACGCGTGTTTCTATTGATTAGGATCTGCAAAAAAAATGTGCAACCGGAGGCTTGCTGTGCGGACACGACGCTGCACTGAAGTCTATCCGCCACCCCAACAGGGGCTCTCACGCTACTCTTGGTAGTCGTCTCAAAACATATCTGCTGGGCCTGGTATTTCTACCAGTCAACGGCTCATCCTTCCCCCCAACAGAAGGCATCTTCCAGTTCTTGTCCGCCAGGTGGCTCTTTTTTCATCTCCGTGGTTTTTATTGGCCACTCGCTGCAAAGCAGCCATGTGCTCCTGGCCCCTTCGTGCGCCTGGATTTAGCTACGCTGATCCGCCTCTAACTTCTCCGACTCCTTCCCTGACTCCACCGTACCAGCTCGCCATGGTCATCGTTTCCCGTCGCAGACTCGTTTATCTGTCACTGGAGTACTGCCAACCCGATCTCTTCTCCGGCAGTGGCATCGCCGCTCGCGCTCAAGTGCGCGGCTTCGCCGCAAAAAACGTTTCTGTAGTAGTCATTTGCGGCCGTCCAGCTCACACCCAGCAACCAGAGCCGGCCCGCCGAAACGTCAAAGTCATTTCCGTCCCGCTTGATAAGTGGGGGACCACAGATCGATGTGCATCTCATCAGCAGTACGCCGAGGGCGTCGCCCGCATCTTAGGAGATGGACTCGGCCAGTATGACGCCATTCTCGCGGTCGACTGGACAGCTGCGAATGCCGTCCGCCTCTTCTTGTGTCATGGAGGTACGCTCAAAGTGCCCATGATTTATCTGAGTTTTCGCGTCTACTGCTCCATGACAGGTATTTCGAGGGATGACGCTCGCTTCTACCGTGAAGAGGAAGCTGCCGCCGTGGATCTCGCCCTCACCTCTGGCGGCGGTGTTGTTGCCTTGTGCGATATGGATTTCGAGACCCTTTCCACCTTGCGCACTGCGCGATCGCACCCTGCCGACAAGCTTCCGCATCAGTTTGCCGTCATCCCACCAATGTTGCGCGATGAGTTTTCGAACATCGCCAAAGATGACGAAGATCAAATTCTCGATTTTCCAAACAACAGAATGTATCTGGTCAGTCTAGTCAGGCTCAGCAGGGACAAAGGGCCGCATCGCTTTGTAAAACTGCTCCAAAACTTGCAGCAGAAGGACCCGGATATCTGGGAACGCACGGGCGTTGTTCCGCTCATCTGTGGCTCACATTCGCAACCGCACTACGCCGACCGCATTCTTCGGGAGCTCCGAAGCGCCGTGCCGCATTCGGTCGTCATCGACAAGTTTCTCACGCCGGAGGAACTCGCCGTTGTGCTGAAAAATAGTGTTCTCAACATACACCCGGCAGAGTACGAGGCCTACGGCATGACTATTATCGAAGCGGCAGCCATGGGATGCCCTACCGTCCTCAACCGCACAGGTATTGGCGCTACCCAGCTGTTAGACCCTAAGAACAAGGCCTGTGCTGCTGTTGATGTGACAGATGAAGTCGCTTTTGCCAACACAGTTCGCAGATTACTGGAGGATGCCCCTCGCCGTCAGCAGCTCGCCCACTCGGCGTTCTTGCACGCCACTAGCTGGACCGAGGCGGAACATGTGCGCGCCCTTCTCGCATTCACTCAAGACACGATCGTGCGCAACTCCTAGCGAAGAGATCTCGGTGCGTTTGATAAGCCACAGTTGTAACTCACACGTACCTCGATTGTATATCCTCTCCCTCTGCACGGGAATCGGGAATAGACGATAGTAACCTTTTGTACAATGCCTTAGATTTTACTCTCCTAAAGCCCTAGCTCGCGCTTCATGCGCTCCAACTCGTCGTCAATTGCGTCTCTTTGAGTCTCTTGGGTGTCTACAGACGCCCGCGGTTTACTTGGTTCCTCTCTCTTCTTTTGGCTGTTTACTTTCTCGAGCCGTTTTTCAATCTTCTTGAGTCGATCGCGTTGCTTTTTTATGTGACTCAGTGTCTTGCGAGACCTACTGCTGAATCGTTTCGCTTCCGCTTTCAGGTCACTGGCACGCTCCTTAGCTGTATCCCTAGTGGTGTAATCCATAGACCCCTCTGCTCTGTTGGCACGAACACGCCATTCATCGGCTCGCTTCTGCAGAGAAGCAGCTTCCTCATCCAGTTTGCTCTGCCTTGTTTCGAGTTGCTGCAACACGAAGTGCGCATCGTCTATCTCTGCCTGCAGCACATCGACATCCGAACTCTTCAAAATATCGCTCAGACCATCATCCTCGTCGTCCGACGCATACCCCGACGAATCGACGCCAAAGCCATCGACCTGATTCTCCAAAAAGTCAACAAAATCGTCCATGATCCCTGGGCGGGTCGCTCCTGATGCCGCCCCAGCAACCCCAGAGAACAAATCGCTAAAAATGCTTCCGAAGCTGTCGTTTAGGTCCTTCGGCATGGGGTTTTGCTCCCTCCATTTCTTTGCAAACTCGGTCGGGTCAAAATTGGGGCCCGCAGAGCCCCCTGGCCATGCCGAGCTTGACGAGGACGAGTAGCCAGATTGCGAACGTCGATCGTAGGATGCTCGCGTTGAGGAGTCGGAAAGGACGGAATAGGCTTCTTGCACGCGCATGAAACGTTCTTTCGCATCGGGGGCCTTGCTCACGTCGGGATGGTTTTTGAGGGCGGCACGACGATAGGCGCGCTTGATGGTCGAGTTGTTTGCGTTGCGATCGATGCCCAGGATTTCGTAAAAGTCAGAGGACAGAGCGGCTCGCCAAACGCGACGGCGTCGTGGGTGGACGGAGCGGAGACTGTTGCGGTTCCGACAGAGGGAATGACGAGGGACACATGGGGAGACAAATGTTAGCATCGACATTTGGAAGACGGATGTGGATGCAAGAGACGGGGACTTTGTGGCTCGGGGAGGTGGCCGTAGGAGCAATTCTAACTCCTCAGCGCAATCTTTGCAGCGACTGCGAGGAGGGATGACGTTCGGACGGGCGAGGTGATGGGAGCTGATCAAAGTGGAGAAATAATCTGAACTAGTGTTTTGAAAATTTTCAACAAAACAGAACAACTCCGCAAATGGTACTGTACACGGTTGCTAAAGTTACAGTACAGTAAAGCGCATCCACACATTCCTCACGCCAAAGTACAGCACGCCACGGCGCTTCTGTGTACAGGCCTGCGATTCGTGTCAAAGGGTTCGACTTAATCCTGCTTCACAAACTCTACCTAAGATGCGTTTTGGCATTTCACAACTATTTCATGTCGTGTCATTCGTCCGGTTGTGTCAATGAGGTGGGTTGTAGGGGTGTCCTAATGTTACCCGCACCACGGTTAACTGAGATTTGTGATTTCCGGAGCTAGCCATTAGCACATGTTTTAACCTTCTGTAGAATACGTTGGCATTAAGAGCAAGTATTTCTGAGTGGTCACCTTCTCATGGGAAATGTTCAGTGTTTGCGCCTAAGACCTACGACTGTAGACTTCGAACGTGATGGACTCCAATCGGAAATAAAGAAGAGAACGTTAATCACGCGCAAAAGATGTTGTAAAATTTCAGCGAAGAAAAACTTGTCTGCCGCATCACTAGAACGGAGGTAGCCAAATTTCAGTCAAAGTAGTCTTCCAAATCTATGCTTGGGTCAACAAGCTCTGCTTCGAGTTGGCTTACGTCAAGACCATCGAGAATAAGATTCTCGAACGTCTCAGCCTTGTCCACTTCTCCAACAAGAATGGCACCTCGGACACGACCATTGACTAGCACGACCCTGATGTAGTGATCATCCCCCCTCTCGCCCCCACTCTCCACCATTCTGTAATCATCCTTCACACCTTGTGCATTATACCGACCCAACAAAACCACCTTTTTGTTGAAGAACTGCGTAGCGTGAGCGAATACATCAAAGTCAAGGCCCAAACAGGCCGCAGGTTCTCCCTGCAAATACCTGGCCATGCTCTGAGCGCATGCTCGACCGGCAGTCTGCGCTTGAGACCACAACCGCATTTGTATCCAGTCGGCTCCGACGGTATCTAGTCTCACGGTTGTGCAATCTCCAGCGGCGAAAAGACCTCGAACATTCGTTGACATGTTCTCCGCAGAAACAAGAATTCCTCCTGGACAGCCACTGAGAGACGCTTCCCGTTTGGACGCAAACCCTTGATCGATTTCGATCCCGCTCCCCCGTAGCCAATTCACGTTGGGTAGCACACCAGTGCCGACGAGGATAACGTCGGCGCCTACCATCGAACCATCCGATAAATGTGCCACGATCGGCCATACCCCGGCGTCATCTTTTGTAACGCGAAGAATCTCACACTCTTTTGCTATACGCACAATCTTTTGCGAATTCGTGCTACGACCTTCAAGCTCGGTGTATTTGGAAGGCTGTTGGATTTCAATTTTGCCTTTCTTGTCGAATAGGACGGGTTGAAATCTGCGACTGACCCATTCTGGACCCACGCCTGCTCCAAACGCGTCGATGTTTCTCCCCTTTTCAGTCTCATTTGAGGAGGCAGAGGATGCGATAGTAGACTGTGCACTAAGGGGCGACGCAGAAGATCCGCTTCCAGTGACATCACGATTCTCCGGTAGACTATCACCAAGCGACTCGCAGGACAACTGGCCGAGGCCAAACACGTTGGAAAGCTGCTCAGCGGCGCGCTTATCAAAGAACGGACTTCCAACATGCGTGCCCTTCATGACCCAAACGATGTGACAACGAGCGATCTCATGGACAAGCTCCATAGCAATTCCGCCAGCGCCCACAACGACGGCCCTCCTCGCGCCGGCCAGCTTTCGCTTGAGGGAGTCAACGGAGCAAGTGTCGCGCAGTGTGAGAACGCTGTCACCCGCCGCCCTGAGTGCGTGGGGCGAGAACGGGGCGGCGCCCGTGGCGATGCAGCAAGCGGAGAAGCGAAAGACGGCGCCCGACTGGCAGCGGACTTGCCCGTCTCGCACGGCGACGGCGCGGTCCTGTACGAAGACGATGCCGCGCGCGCGGCTCCACTCGGCGGCATCGACGTCGGAGATCGCGAGGTCGAGGGCCGAGCGCGTGAGCTTGGCGACTAGCGTGCAGGCTTTGATGATGGGCTGCGGGTCGATGAGCGTGACGGTCAGAGGGGTGTCGGGCGGAGTCAGGGCGGACAGCTCCAGCGCGCAGGTGGCGCCGGCTACGCCGCCGCCGAGGACGACAGCTTGTGCGGGCATGGTGTGCAGGAAGGGGTGGTTGGAGGGGGTGGGCGTTACATGGCTTGTGTGCGGGGGACAACGGGAGAGGAAAGGGGTTAGAGGAAAGGGGTTGCGTCTCGCGGTGGTTGAGCGTCGCGGTGGTTGTCGCAGATGAGTGTGATCGCTACAATGGTCGAGGGGGTGTTAAGATTGGCGTCGCAGTTTCCCAAAGAAATGGCGATTTTGTGACGTGGATGGACAGATGATTCAGATGACATTTACTGTACAGCGTACACAAGTGGATCATTACAGTTGTGAGTACAGTTCAAGCAAAACATCAAGCAAAACGTGTCTCGAGACAGAGGGGCGGAGAAACAGTTGTTGCATGCGGAAGATGAAATAAGGATTAAAGCCTGTAGCGAGCACCCGCGACCTCCGCGCTTAATCTTCCAAAAGATCGGGCGAGAGAGATCTCAGCGGAGGCTCAAACAGCTAACATTACAGTATGTCCCTGAAAGGTGGCGGAGGGGGTGAACTGAGGCGCAACCGAGAGTCGCTTCATACGTCGGCCCACGCGATTGGCTGACAAGTGCGCCACTGGCGGCCAGAGATCCGCTCGCACATGTGTCCTCGATCATACCGCGAGCATGTGGTCACCAGAGCACACAGCCCTCGCCCTTATCCCTTTTCTTCATCTTTCTGCAATCTCCCCCTTTTCACACTTTCCCCCCTGTCCCACTCCACATACATACATACCCTTTCCACCCCCCCTCGCACTCCCCCAACCCTCCCTCGGCACACCCCGTCTTCCGTTTTCTATCATCCCATAATGCTGCGCACATCAGCCCTGCGCGGCGTGCTCCGCCGCACCCTGGCTACCCCGGCCGTCAACCATGCCGCCGCTGTGTCCGCCCTTAACCAGCCGCTCTCTGAAGTCGACCCCGAGATGTTCGACATCATCGAGCATGAGAAGGCCCGTCAAATCAAGTCCATCCAGCTCATCCCTTCTGAGAATTTCACCTCTCGCGCAGTCATGGAAGCCGTCGGCTCAGTTATGACTAATAAGTACTCAGAAGGATACCCAGGGGCACGCTACTACGGTGGTAACGAGTTTATTGACATGTCCGAACGCCTCTGTCAGCAGCGTGCTTTGGAAGCTTTCAATGTCTCTCCGGATGACTGGGGTGTCAACGTCCAAGCCCTGTCCGGAAGCCCCAGTAACCTCGCGGTGTACACAGCCCTACTCAAGCCCCATGACAGAATCCTCTCTCTAGATTTGCCTCATGGTGGCCATCTGTCCCATGGTTTCATGACGGATAAGAAGCGCGTGTCCGCTACCTCTCTGTTCTTTGAGTCCATGCCGTACCGTCTCGATGAGAGTACTGGCATCATTGATTACGACAAGCTCGAGGAATCGGCCGTTCTATTCCGCCCCAAGCTTATCATTGCGGGCGCCAGCGCGTACTCGCGCCATTACGACTATCCCCGCATGCGCGCCATTGCCGATAAAGTCGGCGCTTATCTTCATGCAGATATTGCACATATTTCCGGACTCGTTGCTGCGGGCGTCGTCCCGTCCCCCTTCGAATATGCCGACGTCATCACCACCACCACTCACAAAGCTCTCAGAGGTCCTCGCGGTGCTCTCATCTTCTTCCGTAAGGGCCTCCGCTCAGTCGATAAGAAGGGCAAGGAAATCATGTACAACCTGGAAAACCCAATCAACTCGGCCGTCTTCCCGGGTCTTCAGGGGGGTCCCCACAACCACACCATTGCCGCCCTTGCAGTTGCGCTCAAGCAGGCTAAAGAACCAGAGTTTGTTGCGTACCAGGAGAAAGTTCTCAGCAACTCCCAAGTCCTCGCAAATGAGCTGATGGGAAAGGGTTATGAGCTTGTCTCCGGAGGAACAGATAATCATCTGATGCTAGTAAACCTGAAAGCACGAGGAATGGATGGCGCACGGGCAGAGCGCGTCCTGGAACTGGCAGGTATTGCACTTAACAAGAACACTGTCCCAGGGGACAAGTCTGCTTTCAACCCCGGCGGTATTCGAATGGGCACACATGCCATGACAACCCGCGGCTGCGAGGAATCTGACTTTCAACAAATTGCAAACTACCTGGATAGAGGTATCGAAATTGCTGCGAAGATTAAAAAGGACCTCGGGACAGGAGTTAAGATGGCCGCCTACCGCGAGGCACTTGACAATGGCGCAGGGGCTACTGAAATTGCTGAGCTGAAGGGAGAAGTGGAAGCCTTTTCTATTGGTTTTGAACCCATCGGCTTCGACCGTGCAGATATGGTGTACCCGTAGATACTGTATCTTACGCACGGGGACCGGTTTTCGCAGAGATAGGCACCGATTTGAAAGTTTGTTTGAGTATATCAGATGCGGTTAACAAGTGTTGATTTACAGAGCCCAAAATCTCCTTCACCTTGAAAATACTGCAGTGGTCACATATTCCCTCCATGAAGTTCTTATAGTCGACCCAAACCCATCCTTGATTGCCAACCATACACATTGTATCAATGGACCCTCATCTTACGCCTTCTTCCGTTGCTAGAGCGGCAGGTTTTTTTGTAATAGGACTTTGTTTTGCTGAACGCCAGAAGCAAATCGCAGTTTTCTCAGAATGAAGCAATTCGGACCAAATTTCTTCCGCTCTTTCTGCTTGCCCATACCACAGTATTTCGGGAGCTTCTAGAGAAAGTAAGCCTCTGTCAAGGTGCAGTGAAACCCCAATAATAGAAATGATGTGCCTTTTATCCCTGCTCGACGGAGCGCTATTGGCGCCCTCCTCCCCGGGAATCTGTCCCACGACCTCTACCTCCCCGACTTCCACGACCGCGACCTCGACCGCTTCCGCGTGAGCTTCTGTTAGATGAGGCAGTAGATCTTGCGTCCTGCGCGCTTGAACGACTAGCGGAACCGTGCTCGCTGCCTCCTCCACGGAGAGAAGACTGCCTGTGCCCGGTTCCGTTTGAAACACCTCGCCGCGGACTTGGTGTCCTCGTTGGACTTGAAGGACTTCTTGATCTCTCAGAGTAGGGAACAAAATATTTCGAAGTACGCACGGGCACCACTTCAATATCTGACGTCGGATAATCTTGAGCATAAAACCAATATTCCGGTCCAAATTCGTCACGCTTCCTCTCAACCTCCGAGAACTGCTCTTTGTCGATTGCATTGACCTCCGCGAGCAGCCTTTTCTCATCAATGAAGGGAACGATAACTATAGCCTCCCAGGAATTTCGCTTTCCGTTCATATCCGTCTCAAAGTCGACTGGATAAAATTCTGCAACGGCGGATTCCGGCGTCAGCATCATCTTGCCCATTGGAGCAGGTAAAAAGTGGGCCGACGCCGGAGGCAGAACGGCCATTAGTTGTGTGAGAGGTCTGAAAGGCCGCCCTTTCTGGAATCCGACCTTGATACTCCGCAAGTTCTTCATATCACTCGCGAGGACGGCGTAAAAGTCTGGATAAAACCAATTCCATGACGAAACCCCGTTGTGATAGTACTGCAAGACCCAGTGTAGTCCCTCCATATGTATCCTCTTTAACCTCTCCACATTCTGCGAACCGCCTTCACCATCAACATCGAAATTGAACTTTTGCTTATAATATTCACGGCGATATGCAGGAGTTCTGTACGCAGCCATATTGTCAGAGAAGGCGCGATTTTCAAAGTAGTCGGATTCGCTTTGCGACAGCTTTGTCAGAAAGGACTCGAGGCGATCATGATGGAGTTTGTGCCCCAACGTGATATACCCGCCCCATGTCGGCAGCAATTCCTTGTATACTCTAAACATTATATTGATAGCGCCTTCTGCAATGTCGAGATGAGGCAAATTGGGAATAAAATCGTTGCCGACAAGCATACACATGAACACAAAATCGTCGACAACGCGACGCGCTTCAAGTTTCAGAACGGGTCTTCGCTTCTCCCCCGTGCCATTCATCGATTTTGATTGCTCTCTCGGAAACGTCGCGAGCATTGCTTTCCTTTCAAACTTGCTAGGCGGCCTCCGTGATCTCCTGTCAAACGGACGCTCGAACGGATCTCCGGTCTCAGTTCTCTTAAACTCAAGAAACAACATATCTCGGAGCATAGCAATTTCAAGTAACTCAAACTCGTTGGCGTCGTTCTCCGTTCCCTTCATCTTCGGTACTTTCCTTCCGTTCCTGGAAAATTTCATTTTTTCCCGCAGAAGTGTGAAATGAGGCGCGTGGGCGACAAGGCCAAGCATCACTAGATCCGCATCCAGACCATACATGCAATGCCTTATTTCTGGACTGTACTGATCAGACTTTTGCCAGCTGCGGATGTGATCCATAATCTTGTGCTCCCCTTCTCCTGGGACTTCTGAACCAGAGAAAACGACAGTGCAGCCCTTTTGCCAGGCCGGATCGGTGCTCATTTTTTCATGTATCCATGTACGAAAGCGTTCGGACAGGTTGTACATAAATTCGGTTCCCGGCGTGATGCAGTTGGAGTCAAACGGCTTTCCCTCTGGAACTTCTTCTCCTCTTTCAATTGCTTCGATAATATTTCGTTCAGCATCTTTCGCAGAGCGGAACCTTCTTGAGCGCTGTTGATTCATTTTCGCTCTTGGAGCGACTCCATCAACAGCGAGAAACATGAGCTTGGTGGGAGCCATGATGCGAAACAGCCTTTCAGTGTATTCGAATATGCTCGCGAACATTTCCTCAATGTTCTCAATTGCAATTTTGTCATCGTTTGGATGAGTGCACTGATGAATGATGCCATTCATATCAAGATAGAAATGGTCAAAGACGTGGTCTTCATCAAGACGCTGCATAATTAGGGGATACCGGTCCGTGAGGAACCGGAACATCTTGGGAATTCCCATGGTAGATGTTTAAGATGAGACCGGGATTCCAATCAAACATGCGGATCAGGGACCGGGCAATACAGCTCAGTTCTGATTCTGAATAGGCACCGAGATTTTGCGAGTTGCGGTGCAAAAAAAAGGGGCACCGGCAGCGTCGCCTTTTGAGAAACGCTCACCGTAGAGCTCTTCTTCCGCAAAGGTCGAGGTCCTAAAGCTATGTTCTTCAAAAGGGGTTTACGGTCTCGTTCTGTTAAGATGCGAGTGAAGCAGATATCCAGCTCTTTGTAAGGACGGCGAGGGGGAGATCGAACGTGTGACCTGATGTGGAATCAATAACGGTGAAGTCAAAATAGTGTACACAGTACCCAAGGGTACAGTACACGTGATGCCTGATCTCAACAATAGGGGGCCCAGTCATAACTGCAAATCTTATTTTACTCGTCCAGTATAGACACGGGTACACGTGTGTTTCATTCCTATAAAATGCATTGCGTTCAACCTCGTCCTCGTTGCGTCAGCAACACGTTCACATCTCCGCCACCGTCGTTCAGATGTAACCGTCTCGCCCGCAATGCACTAATTCCACTATCTGCTGAAGATTGCTAATAAGTACTGTGTTCAGGTCAGTACTCGTTCACTTTCAGTGCTTGCAATCTTGCCTCGAGCCGTGTGTTTTCGACAGATGAACACAAAGCATCCAGGGCAAACACGAATGACGGTGCCTTTTTGCGGGATAAGAAATTAGATGCTGCGTTATCATCGTGGTTTGCAGAAAATTTGACGTGTTGCCGAGAACACCCCCAACCCATCAGAAAGAAGAGGAAGCTCGCTACCAGGTTGAAATGTTCCGAGAGTCACAACCGTCACGTCCTTGTCATCTCATCAAGAAATTTGAAAGAAATTATCCTTTGGAACCGTATGCTGTCAGGCAGCTTCAGTGCTTCCCAGGAAAGGTAGATCACTGACCTCTCTCTCTCTTTAAGCGGGTACTTCCTATGAACACGGAAAGGAGGTGTCGACACTCGCCTCTTCTTCCGGAAAAAGAACCGATCCTCGCGAGCAAATATTGCTCAGATGTTGTTGTAGGTTTCAGGAGCGTGCACCTGAGCCGAGGGCTTTACATGACACCCGATTCCCCCAACTTTCCGGCACTTGATGAAGTCGAAACATAGATATATTTTCACGGCCCCTTCGGATGCAGTATTTGTACAGTCGGGAAAGGGCCCTTCTTTAGCAACTTTATGTGACGTCGACGCGGGAAGGACCAGTGCGCACATCTTGATGCTTTCTTGAGTAGTCTCAGGAATACCGAGTCTGATTTACCTTCTATGTCAGTGAAGAATGTGATCAAAGCAAAGTATAGTGTTCCTGGCAGCTATGCTTGCCGCTCTCCGACCAGAAAATACTTAAGGATGGCCGGTGTGGAGGAAACCTAATCAGTGCAAAAGAAGCCCCAGCTCTTATCACCATGCGTTGATTTCTCGGAAACAAGTAAATTTCTTCTGACGAGCATCTGGCTGGGCCGCCTAGCCATGCACGTGGTTTGAAGGACATTCGGGACTACACACGGTCGTTTCGCATGCAGTTACGCAGCAGTACAATTCCGTGGCATAATCTAAGAAACTCGTACGTCCGTTGCTGTACCGTCCAGCCGCCTCTTTCTTTTGTCCTCCTTGTGGAACTTGTTACGCATTTAAAGCCCAGCTCCCCGGGCCTCATCTTCAACTTGCGCATTCTGCTTGCCGAATCCAATATTCATACTTTCTACATGGCGTACTTTTTCGGACCAGTACAATTCAGCAGTACTAAAATCACCCATCAATATCTTCACTCTGTCATCACACACTTCCAGGAGAAGAAGCGGCGGACGTAGACCTTGCTTCACTATGATGAAACTATCTTTGTTGTTTTCGCTCGGTGTTTTGTTATCCGCGTGTTGTGCTCAGGACCCGGAGATTGACTACATCAAAGTCAACGTTGGTGGACCAGACCTATTCGATATCGGCTTTTTAGCTGATGAGCCTTATTTTTATGCCGATAGTACCGCGGAGACGAAGTCCTACGAGGACGCCAATGCCCCAGTAGCACAAATCCCTTGGGGAGAAGTGTATCGCACCCATCGCTATGCTGAAGGTGGAATTCTGTCATACAAGTTTCCAGTTCCCAATGGCGTTTTCGCTGTTGGCCTTTTGTTCGTCGAGCAATATGACGGTGCCGCCAAGCAAGGTGGTCGTGTATTCGATCTTTACGTTAACGACGTGTTGCTGGAGCAAAACATCGACGTTTGGACGATGGCAGGAAAAAAACTCTACGAACCTTACTATATGGAAAAGCCTAACATACATCCGGTTGACGGGCACATTACGGTTTCTCTCGTTCCCAAGAATGAAAATCCGATGCTTTCAGGCATCGTCATAGCTGGGAAGAATGCAGCATCTGTATTGTGGGAAACCAAGGCCCCGTCCACAGACGCCTCAGTCGGAAGACGGCCGCTCCCTACTGCACCAATCGCGACAATTGGTCCCATAACCCCTGTTGTCACCCCAAATCCACACCAGAAGGAACTCACGATCCCTTCAAGCCCTGGTGCATGGACGGACGTAAAATATAGCAGTGGGAGCCCAGTTGCTCGTCACGAAGCGTGTGCTGTTTTCGTAGACGGCCTCGTCTACAGTATTGGCGGGCGTGGCATGAAACCTGTCAGCGTATTCAACCCGATGAGTGGAGAATGGAGCCAGAGAACTGGACCGCCAGTTGAAATTAATCACATGCAGTGCATTCACCACGAGAACAAGATTTACACTGGAGGTTCTTGGTACGGAAAATTCCCGTACGAGCAGGAGCACGAAGTGATGTGGACCTACGATATTCTCTCAGATTCATGGAATAGCGTAGAGGGTCTTCCAGAGGGCAGACGGCGTGGGGGAGGAGCGTTTGTTGTGTACGAAGGCAAGTTTTACCTTTCCCATGGAGCGATTGGTGGACATGGAACTCATGCAACCGCGACCTCAATGTTGGATATGTACGATCCCAAAACTGATATATGGACGCCTCTTCCGGATGGCCCGACACCACGTGATCACACTGCCGGAGCAGTTGTGAATGGAAAGCTTTGCGTCGCAGGTGGTCGTAACGGCGCGTCTTCGGACTTTTGGAACGCAAATATTGCCCCCGTTGTATGCTACTCATTCAAGACAGGTACATGGGAGTCGAAAGCTTCCCTCCCGGTCCCTCGCGGCGGTTCTATGGTAGGCACTACATGCTCAGGATTGGTCATGATTGCTGGCGGAGAAGGCAAAACTCAAACGAACCAGGCGGGACAAGCGTATGATAGAGTTGACTTTTACGATGAGTCGAAAGATGTCTTCTTGGAACCCTCGTACATGACGAGTCGCCGACATGGTTCTGGTATGGCTATTACATCTTGTGAATGTGGTATGATTTACGTGCCTTCTGGCTCAGCTGGACTCGGGGGCGGTCCCGAAGTCACTACAACTGATGCTTGGTCTGTTGACGGGGTTGTGCAACAATGCGCATAATTGCAATCATCCACTTTGTAGGCCACCGAATCAAGGCGCAATGTTCATGCAGAAAGAGACATAATCTGATTTCTTCATTACACAAACAAATGGCTCCTATGGCTGAAAAAGCTTCGTAAGAAGCAAAACAACACTTTTATCTATTTTGCGAGGCGGCCAGGGCAAAGCGCGAGAGGAGAGAAAATGTAAACCTTGATATAATTTTATGAGTGGCTTGGCTCGTTAGTGTATCCGCATCATTGCAATGTATATCAAATAGAAGCATTGGTACATCCGTCCCAAAGTACACTCAGTTCACGACCAGAGCCTTGGAAACGTCAGAGTGTCTTCGCAGCTATCGTGTCTTGAAGACAGAAGGCTTCAGACTGGTTCATTTGTCTTCTCTCTAGCTTTCGAATTGTACTTTGTTCGACAAGACTGTGAAGGGTACCTCCGACTCCGGACCTGAGTTCAGCAGTGCTGTAGACCACATTCCAGTGAGAATTGCTCATCTTTTCTTATCATTTCTCCAGGACAGAAAGTCTGGCAAAGGGTGCTGTCGTGTATACAGTACTTTGAAGTCTTCAAACTAAATACGACATGTGTTTTAGTCTCAAAAAATAGCTCGCCTCAAGCAGTATGAGGCAAAATGAAGGCCATCTGGACACTACAATAAGATACATGTGCAGCGACGTGGCATGTCAGGAAACGGTCTCTTCTTATCCTACAAAGGTTTGTTCCAAATAGAGTGGCCCCGTGTACCGTAACCCGTACACGGATGATCTGTTCTGACACGAAACCGACGGCTTCTGCTCCACAATTGTACTGTACAGTATTTCGTTAGTCGCCAAGGTGCATCGGAGCGTTTTATATGTAAGGCATTCAATCATGGTTATCAGCGTTTCTAGCACGCGGCGGAAAACTTTGTATGCTCTCAATGGTCTTGCGGGTGGCATCAACAAGGCACAGCAGAGCCTGCGTTTTACGTGTTGCATTGCAATCCACGCAGCGAGTTCCTATCCCTTCAGTGTTGAGTTTCAACCGCTGGAAAAGCACGAGTGCCAGTCACGGTGCTTTCCTGTGCTGACACAAGCATCATACTGGTAGTGTAAGGTGATCGGTCCGTGCAAAATGTAGAATACTGTATGAAAAAATGGTGACAACCTCGAGCGTGAAATACAATATAAAAGTCAGTTGAGACGGCACAGCATTCACCACACGTTTTCAATGCAGAATAAAGTAGAATACTGTACCGAAAAAGAGCAGGGCCTGTAGAGAGGACAATTAATTCAAACCCTCTCGTATCGTGGTGTGCATTTATTATTAAGACACGCACACGCACCATCATGATGACGCAGTGCTTGTTGAAATTCCTGGATGTCTGGATGTCGGCATCAGTTTATCAGGTTCATTTGGAGCGCATATTGACGTCCTGTAGCGTAAGCATGGGCCTCAAGGTCCAAAGACAAAATGCAAAGCGGGGCGTCCCAGCAATGCAATTTAAGTGCATTGAGTGGCTAGTTTGGGCATTACCCTTCCACCATGTACTGACGCCTGATCTCGTTGCCTGGAGAACACGCGAGGCCAGGCGAGGCCAGGCGAGCCCGCCCGAAATCAAATCAAGATATTTGTCGATGCGCCACGCACCTATTTGTTCCGTGGTCCGATTTCCTTACGTTTCGATCAACCAATTGTCATCTCCACTTTCTCGCCCTCGCTGTCGTCCCTCCTGTTCTTCCCGTTGCCACTTGTTCTTGCCATCCAGCGATTTCCTTTGAAAACGAATCGAACTCCATCCACGTGGCTTTTGCTTCCAGACCGCTTTCAGCAGAATACACTAACCAACACTACATAAGTACCATTGCCATACCATCACCTCCACACATTACCTTCCCCTCCCCATCGTCGTGCACTGCCGATCCCATACCGTATCACCTAGCTTCATCTATTCGTCGCACTCTTTTCACAGTCGGCGGACTCTACTTGAAAATCTCACAAAATGGAAGGCAAGCTTAGCATCTGGATTAAGGGCGGAAGCTTCAGTCATTCCAGCGATCTGTACATGAAGGTCCTCATCGATGACAAGGAGGTAAGTGACCTGATATTCTCCTCTCAACAAGAACACGGCGAACCAGAACGATGCAATCTCTTGTTCGATCCTCTGTCTCTGACTCACGCACATCACTTTGACATCCTTCACACAGGTCTGGAAGACTGACGAGAAAGATGGCTCTTCACCGGATTGGGATTCCACAGTAGTCAAGCACATCAAGGGAGAGTACGAGAAGATTATCCTCAAGCTCATGGATGAGGACACATTTTCGTAAGTTTCTCTATCCTTCCTATCCTATATTTTATGTACACACGGCCACTATTCACATCCTAACATTGTTTCGATGAAACGTTTTGCTTTTTGACTGTAGCCGTGATGATGTTATCGGGACAGTGGAATTCCCCATCTGCGACACTGTCTCGGGCATCAACGGATCGTTCGATGTCAAGGATGCTGAGGACAATTCCGTTGGTACTGTAGATGTCAACATCAACTTTGAAGAAGGTGATGTTAGCATGTTCGATCTTCTCGGATCCATGCTTCACAAGGACGATTAAGGTATGTCCAATAACACGCTGACCAGAGCTACGTCAGAAGCAGCAAGCGGCCGTCTGCAGCTGTAGGGTGAATAAAAAAGGAGTTTCGCCCAGGCAGCCTAGGAGTCTGCGCCATAATGTGGTTACAAATGTACTCGAAATTCTGAAAGCCACCCTCGATATTCTAAAAACCGTAGCCCTGCGGCTGCGAAACTCGAAATCATGTGCGCTGCAGCTGAGAGTTGCCACGCTGGAGGCAAAGCGTGCTAATGAGTTGATGCTGTATATTGACACGTGGATACATGTCGTACACTTGTAATTCTGATCTCTGATGCTGTTCTGGACTAATCAAACATTACAGTCAGATATTGGAATCAGAGCTCTGGCCTGGACACGCTCAGTCTTTCGGGAGACCTGCGAATGTGCGTTCCGCGTCATGCAAACATGAGTAGAATTTCGCGATGCGGGGGGACCGGTTAGCTGCAGCTCTCTCCACGTATGCCGGATTTGAATTAAGATAGTCGTTATGCAAGGGAGTTGTGACTTCTTCAACGAAAAAACAGGGACCTCGAAAAAACAGAACAATTTACTGTAGACACGGAGACACGTTGAAATGCGACAACATGCAACGATGACTGCGATGGAGAGGGAACGGAATCTTAGGCATTCTGCCCCGGGAGCAAGTTGCGAGCTTCCTCGCCAACATGCTCGAACTCATCGGGAACACATAGATAGAATATCATAGCGCCACCGAGGGCTCCGAGCAGCTCGGCAAGAACGACCCAGATGACGTAGCCAAGCCTCCAAAAGTGCTTGACTAAAACGAGACCAAGAGCGACCGCGGGGTTGAAGGCACCTCCACTGACGGGGCCGACGGTAGCAGCTCCCACTAAGACGACCAGACCGATTGCGACTGACATCATTCAAAAAAAAGACAAAAAAATAAACAACAAATCGTTAGTATGTTAAAGGGGTCGACAGGGATAAAATGTGGGAATGCTCCAAGTCACCTACATCCATAGTACGAGTTGCCTTCAACCTTGCTGTTAGTAGCAACGGCAAGGACGGTAAAGCACAGGAGGGCTGTGAAGACGAGCTCAGCCAGGAAGGCCTGCAGGAAGCCAAAGCCAGTGCCGATAGCGATACCTGCGGTCCTTCCGATGATGACGCCGCCAAGCAGTGCACCGAGGATGCCACCACCGATCTGGAAGAGCCAATAGACAAACATCTCACGGAGAGAGATCTTTCCGCGCACGAAAACGGCAAGGGAGATGGCCGGGTTGTAATGGGCCCCGGAGATGGGGAAGCCACCGTAAACCAGGGCGACGAGGACAAGACCAATGACGATCGGGGCGCTGGACAGGCCACCGGCGACGGAGAGCTGGATGGTCATTACTAGCATGGCCGTACCGATGAGCTCGGTGATGGCCTTGCCGAAGCGGACGCGGAACTCTTCGAGAGCCATTGTGGGATGGTGGGGGTAGGGGGTAGTAGTGGGCGGGAGGGGAGGGGGTGGCGTACGCGGGGGGGTAGGGAGGGGTGCGTTGGAGGGCGGGGGAAGTCGGAAAGGGTAGGGTAAGTTGGGTTAGAAGTCAGACGATCGGATGTGGAAGCAAAGTGGAGGATGGGGGTTTTCTTTATAGTGGCCCCAAGGTTTGCAGGTTGGGTGTGATAGTAGTTTGGCAGGGCAATAGGGTTTTTGGTGCGCGAATGTGAAGGGTGTGTCTTGAGAGGAAAAGGGGCGAGAAAGAATCTAAGTTGTACCGTACTGAACCATAGAGAAGGCTTTTCGGGAAATGCTTGTCTTTCAGAGCTAATTGGATGATTAGAAGGGAAAGGAGGCATACAGCTTTGTGAGATGCAGAGAAACGAATACAGTATGCTGCACAGTCTGTAGGGCACAGTGCGTATCTGAGCTCAAGGGTACGGTACCACTCCCGGCAGGGTACAGTACAGAGGCCGCGAATTTTAAACGCGGAATGATGCTGGCTGTCAACGCGCGGGACGGAACGGCATTCGATATGATAAGATGGGCCACCGGACAGAGGGGAAGCGAGATTCACTTCTACTCGCCCCAAGATATTGTGCCTGGTACACTGCCTAATCCTAATCTCGCTTTGATTGGCCGCAAAAAGGTGGCCCAGCACCCATCGAGCCGCTCTCGCCACTTTTCATTCGTCACATGTCTTCCTGATGCGTACCTGGTGGCGATTCGTGGACATTTTTTTTTCCATTTCACCAATGTCAACGTGGAGCCTGGAGGGGATACTCGCGTCACTTTACTGTAAAGCTCACAATCAGCCGTTTTTTGCATCATATCCGTCCAATCGCCCCTTTTCCTAACAACTTCGCGTTGACGCCCGGCTCTGAAACAAAACAAAAACAAAAAAAACTTGTTTATACAGATTCGCCCTTGTAGATTCATCCACTTCCACACGGGCATTGACTTCTGCATTCCCATCCCTTCACATGTTAACCTCATCGCGTCTGTCGACAGGCAACCCTTTACCTTCTCTTCAATATGCGACGCGTTTGTCGCAGTGTCCCTCTGGGGCTACAATGCCGTACATCCCAAATCATGCGCTGCGCCAACGCCGCCCTCATCAAACACAAAACCTCGCTCCAAAGCGTCCACCCTCTCTTCGTAATGTCCAGACGATATAGGCCATTCTTCATGGGTAAAAAAGAGGGAAACATCTCGATATTTGTAAACGGTAGTTTTGACATCTTTTCTGTCACGTCTTTGCCCCCATAATTTATGTACATCTTGCATATCGTTGGGACAACAAATCTTCAATGCACTGATAGTCAAAAAAGCAACAGGGGGTTGGATTCTCGTACTTTTTTTTAATATCCACTTGGGTTTGAAGATATTACAGAAGCAAGTTCAGAGTTGTGCAAGCACCCGCAGCTTGCTTCTGTTCTCTTAGAGGGAGACATCTATATTTATTTGAATCACTTTATCTTCGGGCTGTGATTCATGCCTATGCTGCTGTTGCACTCTAATTACAAAAAAAACACCTCAGTTGTGCACTCTAAAAATAATTTCAAGTCCAATGAAAACTGTCCCAAAGGCTCATCCCGTATGAGGTCGAATATCGTCCCAACACCTCTGTAGCTGCTTAACGTTTCTCAAACAAGTAATGCGCTACGTACCACTCTTGGCCATTGTTATATCCGAACAACTCTGCCACCGCCAAGTAGAAGGTTCTCCAGTAAGCTTCCCACTTCGTCGCCTCCGTCCCATATGTACTGCGCAAGATGCCCCGGATTTCCTCGATGTTTTTGTCAAAGTTCTGCAGCCAATGTTCCGATGTCTGCGCGTAGTGCCGTCCATCTACTCTCCAGCGCTCGATCAGCTTCACGTCCTCCTGGAAATAGCCCAGGATGTCATCGCTCCCCATCGTACCCCCCGTAAAGAAGTATCGCCCCATCCAGTTGCTCGGCCCCTCTGTCTCAAAGTTGTAGATATACTTGTTATGGCAGAAGATGTGCACGAATAGCTTGCCGTCCTTTTTCATCCATTTCGAGATCTTGTTAAGAAGAGCCCCGTAGTTCTTCATGTGCTCAAACATTTCTATAGACATGATTAGATCGAAACTGCTCGTGATCCCTTGTAATCGTGTGATTTTCGTGATGTCTCCAGTAACGATACTCAAGTTTTTATATCCATTCCTTCGCGCCTCCCCCTCAATAAACTCCCGTTGTGTCCAACTGTTCGACAGCCCGGTCACTTTACAATTCGGATAATTCTCCGCCACGTACAACGAAAGGCTTCCCCACCCGCATCCAAGGTCAAGCACGGACATCCCGTCTTTCAACCCGGCCCGCTGGCAATACATTCGTAGCATCGATTCCTCTGCCGCGTCTAGGCTCGCGTCTGGCGACTCGTAGTAACAAGACGAATATTTTCTCCGCTTACCCAACGTCAACAGAAAGAATTTTGTCGGAAGCTCGTAATGTTGCTCGTTTGCTTTCTCTTGCTCAATTGCGATTTCTTCACCTTTCAAGCTTTTGATCATCGCCATCTTACGTCGCATTTCTTCCTCAACCGTAGCGCTGCTTTCGTCGACGAGTCGCTCTGAAAGCAATTTTCGAATGCCGATCCGCGTGAGCCAGTCTGGAGCAGCGTTCCGTTCTAGAAGCCTGTCAGCCATACCCATTATTGACATGATGACCGGCTGATCTCTACGGAACGTCAGTCTTCACCGTATTTAACAGAGAATACAGAGCAGAGCGCGTTTCCTATCAAACAAGTAAGGATCTGATCCTCTCAATCCTGTAACCAAGCCTTCGACCAGCCTCAAAAGTCTTTTTCGCTTGCCAACGAAGGATTTCTTTTTGGAGGACGTTGAAAATGATATCAGACTCGGTTGAAAACGAGTCTTCAGGGCGTGTTGATTGTGCAACACGTGAACACAACCTCTCAGCTTTTGTAAACCGTGCGTTACCGGACCTGGATTGTTAAGTGGGACGGGTGCTTGCGGGAATGCGAAAGAGCGAGGTTGAGAGGCAAAATGTCGAACAGACGTTGTCGGAGCCTGATGCGTAAAGAAATGCAGTCCCGTACAAGCGCTCGGCCATGGTTTGATCAGCAGCCCCTGGAATGCATCTCAAGCACAGAATTTTTGAAAAAAAAATTCTGTGTTCTCCGCAGACATCCTTCAGGATCAAACGGAACTTATCCAGACGGAGATGAACAACGGTGCTCTGATTCAAAGAGTCCATTCCCGACAATATCAATGACGAATAGATACTCGAAGGCATCCTTTAAAACGCCATGTCCGTTGTTGGGAAACTGTACCGTCCTGCGTCGCGCTGCGGCTCTTCGTCGATCGCATCCGGTCGACGTGCCTCGCGGGCAGGGACGCTCTGGTCTACTCGGGGCGATCGGATGCGTGAAGGCCCGAGGTGTAGTGCGGGGGGAGGGCTCTGTCGTGTGAGGCACATCGGTGGCCCGGCCAAGGGCCCAGTGCTGTGAGACGGAGAACGGCCCCTGCCAGCCTTTTGTTTCAAGAGCGAAGCGAAATGCCACTACCGCGCGCGACAGTTAGCCTTGCCAGAATAAAGGCAGCCCCCGACAGATCCCCAGAGGAGGGGATCATCGGATCGGGGAGCATCGCCAACGGAGCCGCCCTTCAGAGGGACACACGTCCTCGCCTCCTCCCGACGCGCGCGTCTCCATCACCCGACGACGTCGTCCACGCCCGCTCGCGAGGAACTTCGAACCCGCCGGTTGCCACAGAAACTCATTTCAGACTTGGAACATGCTAATCGCTCACTACCAGCCTCTCGATAGAGATGACTAACTCACAACTTTCGTGGGTCATGTCTAACGGGCAGAGTCTTTTGCAATTCCAGCAACCAGGCTCGCGAAACATACGCTATTATGGGTTTTGAGGGGATCTAGATTACAAACATGCTCTCCTCTTCGCTTCATCAGGCATCCAGAGTACTTTGTAATTCAATGATATTATCGAGATAATCAACTGTGTGATGTTGCAAACTGTGAACCAGCACTCACTTCAACAAAGTGTTTATGTTCTCTGTAGTCCAGACGAAGTATTTCTTTCTGATAAGCAGTTTCAGAAAGCACGCTGTTTATCTCCTGAGACTTGATTTCGCTCTGCACATTTGAGCCTAATAGGAGCAAAGCAGCCCCGTACCTAGTTTTAGATACCGAGACTGGTCTGCAAATGGGTTCGAGTTGCTATTTCATGGCGCTCAAAATAGCCCCCTTTTTTTTGTTCAAACTTTCCTTCAAAAACTACGAAACAAAGTGAGACTGTAGACACCTCTGTAGCTGCTTAACGTTTCTCAAACAAGTAATGCGCTACACCGTATGCGTAGGCAGAGCTGAAGACGATCAGTAGTGGCTACCAGTCGTTCATAGCATTCACAGGCCCGGGAATTGCCCTTCTGTTTTCCCGTACAACACCAAATAAAAATCTTCCTCTCTTTTGTCTCTTCAGGTCATGTTCCAAATGCTAGATATGCCAGGATTTTAAACAGGAGTTTCGGGTCGACAGCACGAATACTGACAGACTAACGCTCAGTTGTCCTCGATTCAGAGCCGTGAGTTTGCTCTCGTTCACGACGGTGAGCGGGAGCGCGACTATGGTGCCCGTTATTTTGGTGCGCTCGATGTTTTATGGTGTGAATACTCATCAGCAGTTTGATCAGCTGCGGGATGTGGGTTTGGATGCAGGAGCAGGGATAAGCCGTCATGAGGAATCCGCAATTTCTGGACGATAGCTGCAAGTATGTCCAAGTAGACGACGAGAAGGGTGCAAAAACAAAACGCTTCTGGTTTCAGTTGCACGGCAGGGAAATAGAGAGGGCTCACTTAGTAGCTTGGTACATTACGGTATCGATGGGACCCCATAACAGAAACAACTTTATTGCAGCTCAACACAGTGCAAGGGAACTTGCAGCGATTGCAAACGTCCAAATGTATAGCATTCCATCAGTTCTTTTGTGCGTGCGCACTGTGCATTTAATATGTATTCGGCAACTGACTCAAACTACTTATCAAGACGGGGGGTAGGTCCGTTTGGAATACGGAGGGCGTAGCGGGGGGTGCGGTGAAGAGCGCCGACATTATTAGAGTTGGCGGGTTCAGCAGGGGGCAAACAGTGTGCGGTGTAACTGGGGACGGGGCTACGGGAGGGAGTAGGAGATAAGATTCTGTGCCATGGTCGTTACTGCGAATCACCGTGTGAATTTGAATGCCGACCAGAATGATGCGTCAGATGGGGAAACTAGGGCGTTGATGGAGGCGGGCTTTCCGTTGAATTGGCCATAGGGCCGCGAGATGAGACCTTGCCCTATGGTCTTCAACGAAAGCAGTGGGCGGGCGAGGACGGCGAATACCTGTCTGCCACAAATTGAGAAGCAAAGAGGTTGATGGAGGCGCGCTGTCACTGTTGAGCAGCGTATGGGGCTGCGAGATGAAATCTGGGGGCAGGGTCTTCAGTGACAGCTACCGTGCAATGCCAGAAACCGATCAAGCGGACGATACCCCAAAGGTGTAACCGACATGCGGGACAAAGTGGCTACCAACGTCGGGCAAGCACGCGGAATACGAAGGATGAGGCGGATGGTGTGGTGAAGAATGCGGACATTGTCAGGGATGACAGCGCGGCAACGCAGCCCTCACGGCATGGTTATGGCCAGAGCCGCGGAAGGGATTAGGTTGGCGCCGTAGAACCCCGTCCATTGGACTTGTCGAGGACACGATGCTCTATGAGGTGCAGCATTAGAGGGGCAAGGGTGGGAGTCGGCACTCGTGGATAAAAACCGTAATGCAGACGAGATCGCACTTGAGCAGGTTGCTGCTCCCGAGCAATACAGGATCGTTACAGTTAATTGTACAGTATACTGTACCCTTCGAGCAGGCATGTAGCATTCCCTCTGTTGACCATTCACAGCTGCTTATTATGAGCAAATGAACTGCGGTAAAGTCATACACTGTCGAAACCCTGGAGTCATTCGTACAGGGGGTCCCACGATATAGTGCCATACCGGCACAAACCTGTATATGTGGCACTATTGCAGGGTTGCCATTATACAAAGGGAACCAAAATACGACCTTTTACTCAGGAAGCACACAAAACCATCTTTAAAGGACATTATGATAACCCGTGCCATGGCGTTTCGCATAGCACTAAATCGAGGGCGGCACTACTTAAGATAGCACTATTGCGCGACCCCCCCTGTATTAGGGTAGGGGCAGCATCTCGCCAGTCTAAATGGGCTCTTGAGCTCTTGTGCTCTTGTTACCCAGCCGCTTTTCCGCCCCTTCTTCCGCAACACCTGGCGCCCGCCCGGCTTGGGGTGCGGGAGCCTACCACCAACCCAAGAAGCTCTTCGGTCTTGGACATATTGCAGAAATCCTCATGTGAAGACGCACGAAAGGCTCCTCGGATGCCGACCGATACCAAGCATTCTTTCCTGTTGACGGTCATCCCCATCTGGCTCTTCTAGACCCTCGCTCCGGTGAAAGATTGGCTGTCTGGGGAAATCAAGATGGTCAAGGCGTGGAATCATACAATTCTATCACAGATGATTTATGGAATGTCGTTCTTGAAGACCTCGACAAATTTTTGGAGTCCCATAGTCTGGAAGACGGTGCTCTAGGTCCCGTCCGCCTCCGGGAGAAGTCTTGGGCTGTTCGTACTCGCCGTGTCACTGAACGAGCTTCTGTCAGTCGTCCCAATCTACCTCCGACCTCGGTCATGGATGATGAGGAAGCCGCTATTGCAGCAGCCATCGCCGTCTCGCTTGCCGAGGCTGAAAATAACGACCAAAAGTCATCGGATAATGACTATTCCGACGATTCTGATTCTAGTGGTTCAAGTGACGAAATTTTGAGCACCGATAGCATGGCCGGTGAAGGCACTACGTCCGCGGAACAGGCTTCATCTGGGTCGGAGGGGACGGCTACTCCGTCTGAGCGCTCCAGCGAGATCGGATCATCGAGTATGGACACCTCAACAAGGCTCGACGAAACCCGACGTGCCGTCTCAATGCCTGTCCCTATCCCATCCCACGCACAAGACCCAAGCCCGTCGTCGATCGAATCTCTTTCGCACTCCTACATCGAGCGCATGGACTCTCGTTTTCGCTCCAACACTATCCCCGCACTGCTCGAAGCACGTCGTCTTCGGAAAAAACAAGACGAGGAGCTGGCGCGTTCGCTCCAAGAAGATCGGAAACGCAACCTTGAGGAGCAGCTCGCGGCTGCCAAGCGCGCGGCAGAGAAGGCGCAGCAGCTGACAGCGGTGGCACGACTGCCCGATGAGCCTCTGGAAGACTCGGCGGAGGCGTTGACAATCGCGCTGCGTGTGGCCGGCGGCGCAAGAATTGCGCGTAGATTCAGCAGCAGGGACAAACTCAGGAGCGTGGCCGATTTTGCGACAGCAGAGATCGTGCATTGACCTTTTGAGCAAAGACCCGAAGAGGGTGCTCAGGATTGCCGGCGGGGAGCGGTCGGCCGGCAGCTAGTAGAGAAGGCTGGGGGAGGTGGGGCTTAGCAGAAGGACGATGTTGATTCTAAACACAGAATGGGACCTGCGTGTAGGCATGTTTTTGTATCCATACTTGAGAAGATGCACTCGACTGGAGGCCTTTGTAGAAGAGGAATTGTGGTTACCCTCTTGTAAATTATGTTATTTCGCGATTGAACATGAAACACCTTGTTCACTCACGTGCCGTTACAGCCGAGGTGCGCCGACCTGCACAAGTCGCCCCTCGCGGCTTTCCCCTCTGCTCTGCGCTCCCTAAAGAAGTGTCTCATGAGCTCTGCGGCCTCGTCCTCCAACACGCCGCCGCGTACATCTCGAAACGTGTGAAACGGATGTTTCTCCTCATGCAAGGGTAGCCACGTGCCGCACGCGCCAAGCCTCAAGTCTTTAGCGGCGTAAACGATGGCGCCGACTCTGGCGAGAGCGAGTGCGCTGAGACACATAGGGCACGGCTCTAGAGTCGAGTACAGAGTGGTGTCGTGCAGCCGCCAGTTGCCAGCGGCGGCGGCGGCGCGGCGCACGCAGAGGATCTCGGCATGCGCAGTGGGGTCGTGCAGCGACTCGACGAGGTTGTGTGCCGCGGAAAGGACGGCCCCAGAACTGCAGACCAGGACGGCGCCGACCGGAACTTCGCCCAGACTATACGCGCGGCGCGCCTGCGCGAGCGCGTAGCGCATGGGCTCGAGATGCGCCACGGTCGTGCAGAGAGTGCGTGGGGATGGACGCAGGCGATGCATGGGGGACGACGTCAGGAAGGAGAGCATAGCGACGGTAGGGGGAGATGAAGGGGTGCGAGTGAAGGTAGGGAGAGATGCCAATGTGGAGGGCCGGGGGGCAGGATTAGGGTTTTGTAAGAGCAGGACAGATGATAGTGAGACGGAAGATGACGGGAGATGATGGGGCGGTAGGGGATGATGTTTTGCGGTTCTTTTTGCCCAGTTTCTAAATAGAGAGAACGGGGGTTGACCAGTTTCTAAATAGAGGGAACGGGGGTTGCCCCGTGGTGTCATTTCAGGTTGAGGCTTTTGCGGGACAGGGGACGTCTCGGGGAGAGAGACAGGGTGAGCACGTGAAGCTTGTGGGGTGTTGTCACGAGTACGGGCTTGGTTCAAGTGCGTGTGAATAACGCAACCTCTCTCGGCTTTTTGAGCCTTGTTCGCAATACACTGATACGGTTGTAATAAGTATGGAAAATCTTTTGCACAGTGCAATGTTTCGCAGTCAAGGTGAACTTCAGCTTGAAAGTTAGTAGTTTGGGAAATCGGCGTAGTGCAGGATCTCCTCTTCAAAGCGGCATTCCAGATATGAGGCCCAGATAAATCTGTTTGTGGACGTTTTAGTATTTTGACCCGATACGTTGCTGTGGTGCATAGACGCATGGTCGCGAAAGCGGGCAGTGCCAACGAGACAAGAGTTCACAGCATCTCACGCAGTTCGGAGGACAAAGAAAAGGCACGAAAAGCGCTTGGACCACAGATTGAAATCATTCGCCCCTCCCGCTAGAGGAGAAGTGCCTCAAATGTCCTTAAACGATATACTGGCAACCGAACAAGTGTTGCTTATCTCCGTCTGTGTTTTTTTGGCTTGTTTACGATATTTTGACCTGTTTTTCGACGGTAGATGTGTTACCATTTTAATGGTTTAAAAGTGTTAAGTTTGAACAGACAAGTTAATTACTATTCACTGCGTTTCGTTGAAAAGCAATGATTTTTGGAACCGTTTTGTGTGTGATCGTATGAAACCTAGACTTCCGTAGATGTCAGCGAGGATGTCGTGAACAGAGTCGTGATTGATTTTGCTACTCGAGGAGGGCTCATAACGACTCTTTCCCGAACCACTGCTGACAAAAAGCTCTTGCAATATAGAGGGGCGTGTACACCTTCGGCTGAGCTTCTGTGAGCGAATCAATAATCATTCCGGTTTTCCTGCACGCAAGTCGTACAATACCTCCTTTCTACGTTTTTCTTTCTTTCCTTGCAAGACGTGCAATACATGAAAGATTTCTTTCATTAGACGCGTACGCATGAAATGCAGTGAGTGTGAAGTCAAATGAAACGCGAAACTTCTCCTCGATTGAACTCAAGAACGGGTATGGCGTCATAGACGACACTGTAACCAAAAAAGGCGGGACCATGGCCCGCCTTTTCATCGTCGATGACACAGCGTCTAGGCGTATCTTATATTTCGCCTCAAACCCCTGCTCTATCAAGCCTTCGCAATTGTTTCGGCGCATCTTTGCCTAGGAGAGTACGACCCCCCTGCTCATACACTCGCTTACCATGACACAGCAAATAACAAATTCACCTCCTTTCAAAATGGAGATGGCGCAAGCTGGTAACGAGATATAGATGGAATTAGTGGCAACAGGCCGCCGCAGTTTCAATTTCTTGGCGAATTTCCGCCTCCGCGCCTCGGGGAGCCGCCTCCCCGACTGCCGGTGCTAGCGGTACTAGTTGATTTTCTTTGATTGCGAACAGATTGTCTTCCAGCTGGGTTCCAATCGCGCCTTCCATAATGTGACTGTGTCTCGCTGCTTCCTCTCCCACGACCGCGGCCGCGACCACGTCCCCCGCTGGCGCTGGTGCTCCGTTCAACAGCTGGTTGTCGTGCAGCTACAGACTCTGCTTCAGTAACGAATGCCAGAGAACCGTTACCGGCAGTAGAGGCGGACGCAGGTGTGCTGCCGCCAGCGTCTCTTCCGCGTCCAGGAAAACCAGGAGGCACTCCGTTGCGCCCATGGCCGCGTGCTCTCCCGCCTCCTCTCAAAGAATCTCCACTCGGACCCCCACCTCGTCCCCTTCCACGACCGCGTCCTCTACCGCTACCGCGACCCCGTCCGCGACCATACCCTCGACCTGACTGCGACGTACCACCAAACGCAGCATCTGGGACGTCCGGCATGCCATCGCTATCGTCGCTGTCGCTGACATGAGTCTTATTCAGCAGGTCCTTCATAGCAGCTTCTCCAGCAAGCTCCCCCTCATCTGGATCATCGTTGTACGTGTCCTCTTCAGGTAGATTGAAGCCTCCGTCTTGAATCGCACGGTCCTGCTCCTCTAACCTCTCTTGCTCGAGGTGTTCACGTGCCTGCTGGGCGGCGACTCTCCGCTTGTACCAATCTGCATCCACAGAGAGATCCTTCTCTCCTGAAAACGTATCGAGTTCCTTGATGCCTGTCTTCTTTCTCCGATTGGCAGCCTTCCCTATCAGATCGCCCTCCTTCCTGTCCTCCTCGAGCTTGAGAGCGACGTGCTTTCCAGATTCTGGTGGCGGTAAGCCCAACAAAGCGTCGACGAGCAAGGCAGCTAAACCGGCGAGCATATCCCTCGCACGCAGCCCATTGGCGAGCCTCGCATCGGCCTGCGGTGAGTTCATGCGACGTGCAATAGCGGCCCATTCGCCGACCTTTTTCACGGCCGCTCCGCGATCCCTGCGTGAGGAAAGCGCTTCCAGGACGATGGAACGTGCATCGGCGAGGGCGAGGGCGAGCAACACATCGAAACAGTCCAGCACGTGGACGACGTCGGCGGTAGCCAAGGCGCGTGTGAGAGAGTTGACCATGCGTGAAACGGGCTTTGCTAAATCCGAAAGGTGGGGGGCGACGATTGGGGCGGTGACGGAGGGCGGAAAGAGGACTGCGATGTCCAGCAGTTGGGCCGGGGAAGGAGTAGGGGGCAGGTGCGAGGATACTTGCAGGTCGAGGGGGGCGAAAGGGTGTGTGGGGATGGGGCGGAAGAGAGGGCGTGTGCGGAAGGCGAGGTAGGTGTCGACGTAGGGCGCAGTTAAAGTGGGTTGTGGGGGGAGGGGCGTAGGGAAGGGGCTGTCGAGAAGCGCATTTTCAGACGGGGTGAATAGTTGAGCGGTCGACATTGGGATTAGGGGGTGGAACTAGTTGGGAGAGTTAGAGGGAGGGAGGGGAGAAGTGCGATGCAGCGTTGTTGCGTTTTGAGTTTCTTGAAAGCGATTCTGTAGAGACGCACTTGGGAATTTTGACGATGACGAAATGCGTTGTACTTCTTGGACACGTGTGAACAGATGTCCGTGCTCTCTTTTTTCTCGAGAATACTGTACGCAAGCTGCTCTCATCTCATGCTGGTCAGTACAGTGCGGTGGACCAGTAGCGTGGAAGGAAACACTGGTATCCTCCAGGGGGTGTAATGCGAAGCAGTGTAATGACATGTGAAGATGGGGGAATTATCGGATTTATTGGGATCGAGGGAGATCACATGTCTCCGTGTGTCGTTTGCAGTCCAACGGTTCAAGAAGCGTGGAGAGAACTTCTCACAACAGCTTGCCTACCGCACCAACCTTCGAAAAGCCAGTCTCAACTCGAACCTTGTCTCACGGATTGGCATTCGATCCAAACCTCCTCCTTTTGAACGAGTCTATACCAAACTTTCCGCAAGCCAGGGGCATCCGTTGCACACTAATCTATCTAGATATAAAGGCGAACCCTAGCACCTCTATTCCGCCCGCGAGCACCGCCACAGACTTGCGTCTCGGTTCATTCCGCTTTGCCACACACGTCTGCGTTGCAAACCACACGCCTTGACTAATTCCTGACCATGGCTTTCATCACCGGTCCAGCCCTCCCCACGCGCTCCGCCGCGCCAACAAAGGCCACCTGGATCTGCAGTGCCTCCCAGCAGCCCGTGTCGCGCCGCTCTTTGCTCACAACCGGAGCCACCGCCGCTGCCGCGCTTCTTGCTGCGGCAGCCCTCCCCGCCCCGGCCTCTGCCGACAATGCTCGCGGGCTCGAGCGTGCATTCAGCAAGGTGCTCTTCCCGAAGACAGGATTCAACGCGCCAGATTCGCAAGTCAACTCGTCCAACGTTAATAAGGCCATACTGTCCTCAAGTGACGGGAAGGCGGCGCTGTCGAAGATTGAAGCCTATTCCAAGGGCATTTCTGATCTCTACACTTCGTTCAAGCTTAACCCTCAGCTTGAACTTTCGGACCCGGTCAGGAAATTGATCAGCATTTCAGCTTTGAGGAATGCATTGAATGTTATCAATGAAGCTATCGATGAGGATGGCCAGACCCGGACCGATAAGGTTGTCCGCGGTATTATTCAAGACATTGGCGAGCTCGAAAATGTTTCCTACGTGAAGAAGGGCGCTGCTAGGACACCAAAGAAGATCGAAAGGACCAATGATTGGTTCGAAAAGGTTACACGTGACTTCACTCGGCTGCTCTCGTTCTACTCGTAAGCTTTGTAAGTAAATTGCAACTCGATGAGTTCCTTTTGTATGGTGTATCGGCCAGTCAAATAAGCCGTAACAGCTGAGTTATGTGCATTGTTCACGCCCTATGCCTCCAAACCAGTTGCTCCAACTCGCCCAAAAGTGGTCCCTTCCTACTCTCGCTGCTTCCGCTGTCTTCATGCCAGCATCCGTGCACAAAAAAAAAAACTTCTTGCACGCATCCCTGTTATTGTTGTCATGTCCCGCTGCCGTTTCATCATGCCATGCGCCCCACGTTTGCAAATATCCGACTCGGCTGTGCAAGGAGCCACATCACCGCAGCACAAGAACGCCGCAACACCTTCATGGCGAATGACCAGTAAAGCATAGTCCGTTCATCTTATTTTTGATAATGGAGTGAGATTAGTTGTTCATTCGAAGTCGGTGAATGTCCCTAGGCCAAGCAAAGAACCCAAAAACACTCGGCTGTTCCACATGGCATGTATCAGAATAGTGACAGTCAAGTTACGTGACTTTGAATAGATAATAGCCCATATCAGGCCAAGCATCGCTAACGGTAACACCATCGTCGGATTCAGGTGATGGAGCGCAAAAAGTATCGAACTCGCCGGAATCGCCACCCACATCGGGAAAAAGCATGCGAGTGCAGGCAGCAGAAACCCGCGGTACAACACCTCCTCAAACACAGGTGCTGATACGCACGGCCCAATAGATCCTACCGCCATGGCGATGCGATCCTTGTTCTCTGGATTGATGAGCTTGCTCACTACTGTTTCCTCCTCGAACATAGAAGCCGGTAGCACGAGCTGATTCAATACGTCCGCCATGTTAAAGAACAGAGCGCTGACATAATAACCACCGATTGCCCACCAAACCCAGTTGGATTTCCACTTCCACTGCATCCAGGTTCCCTTCGGGGGAAAAAACGGCTTGAGACGACGAAGAATGCGGATGCCCATGTATACCCACATGAGATGTCCTGAAAGCACTTTCCACGCCCTCGTGGTAGCTGTCGTGAGCGGTACGCCCGACCCAGCTAGTAAAAAGAGAATCTGCTCCGAAAACACGGCGCCATACCCCGAAGCCAAGTAGGCGACCATGAGCAACACAGCCGTCTGGCCAATGCGCTTCTTCGCCTCCCTCGGTACTTTCCACGGGGGGTTATCCACCTTGAGCAGATTAGGCAGCAGCTTCTCTGGCTCCTCCCCCTCTTTCCGCTTGACAAACATCTTCCTCCACACGAGAAAAACCAAGGCGACCACAGCACCGACGACAGAATCATAGCCTATACTTCCGAACAAGTTCTTCTCATTCGGAATGACAGTCTTCCGAAATTTCCACCCCTTTGTCGAAAAGAAGAACAAATGCACAGCATACAACGGCAGTAAGATAGCCAGTTGCAGCAGAGGGCGTTTTCGAAGATCAACAAAAAAGTCGGGAAGCCAATCTGGTGCCCAGTCTGGTCTGCCCTCACCCACAGTTTCCGGGGCGTCGATGGCGACGGATGAGCCCGCGACCAATTCAGCGGCCGGCTCACCTCCCTGCGGCGTGTCTTCCCCTCCGCCGCCACCCTTCGCCACTGCACACGGGGAGATGCGCTTCATTCCAGCTAGGCTGAAACGGTTTCGGGAATGTGACTTCGCAAGCGGGTGGCCGAAAAATGCCGCCTTCGAAGACGTGCCGAACGTGTGGGCACATAGTTGACGCGTTAGAAGCGGGGTATGCGATGCAGTGGGGAGCGGGACGCAGGGTCGGTAGGCGGTTGGCACGGAGAGAAGATGTGGTCTTTTTGGACTGGAGACGCGATAGATTTGTGCAGAGGCAAAGGAGGAATGGGGGGGCTTTGCAGAAGTGATGGAGGCGGGTGGGGGCCGTGTGGAGGCACGCACGGGGGTGGGAACAAATGCGACGCGTCTTGGCGCCATGGTGCGGGCGGGATGGGGGTAGTGGGTGGTGGACCGGGGCTGCGGTGGAGGGGAGGCTCCGGGTTTGAATGGAAGCCAAGCCAAGTGGGGGGCGGGGGGGAAAGGAATGCTTTTTTCGACCAACCGAAAGTGTTGGGGGAAAGCGATCTGCTGAACAGAGCTCAGCTCGCAGAGAGTCGTCGTGCCATTGCGGCGAGCCGGGGAGGCGTGCTTTACAGATCTGTACAGGTGTGCATGAGCCTCCTTCGATCTTACCCAATCCCACGTGGCAAAGTGCGTCACCGCGGTTGGATGGCGTATGATTTGTACCGAATTATTTCAACCAATGGAGGTAGAAGGATTCCGCCTAAATTTGTCAAGATTTTATGAACCTGATCTTTTGTGAGCTTTCGAGCACGGCTCGACGTCGTACAGAACAGAGCCCTTTTGATCGTTGTCCTTGAGCTCCCCGCGGTCGACCTCCCTACTTACCACCTCGCTCGCAGCCCCAGCCAACTTACTACCTCACGTTCCCTCCCACCACCTCCCACTCCCTCTTACCTTCTCTCAAACACCTATCACAATGGCAAACTCACTGCCAGCGTTCCTGTCTGCCTCGTCGGTCTCCCCGCTGCACTCTGCCTTCCATGGACAGTCCTTGCGCGCACAATGCCTGCCCATCCCTCGCACGCGACCAGCAACCCGAACCCCCTACGCTTCCGACAAGCTGCCCTCTGAGAGCGCTGCCTATATCTACAGAAAGTCGCTAGAGCATCTTGAGCATCTCAAGTCGAAGCGCTACCCCACATTTCGCAAACTTCAGCATCGCCACAACCAAGGCCCCGCCGCCTTCCGTCAAGCACAGGCGGCAGCAGACGCGCTCGCTGAAAATGTCGCCACGGAAGTTACTGCCCCGCCTGCGGATCTGGCCCGCAAGACCCCCAAACGACACATGATGCGTGACGGGATCCGTTTATCGGAGCTCGCCGTCGGCATGGAGATGGTGGGCAAGGTCCAAAACCTCGTCAGGCATGGTGCTTATGTCGACGTCGGCGCAGTCAGAGATGGGCTCGTTCATGTCAGGGATATGGCTATTGAATTTGTCCATGATCCATCGGACCTGGTGAGGACGGGCGATAGCGTCACTGTGTGGGTTAAGTATGTCAATCCCGTCACCAATGTGCTCGGGCTTAGTATGGTCAAGCCAAGAAGGGGGTTTACAGAACGAATGCCGATTCGGGATGTCGAGATTGGGAAGAGATATGAAGGCACCGTGGAACGCGTTACGAATTACGGCGCGTATGTCGATATTGGCGCGGAGCGGCTTGGCTTTTTGCATGTCGCTGCCATTTGGGGAAGGCGCCCGAGGGAGACGTTGGAGCAACTAAGGATTGGGGAAAGTGTCTGGGTCAATGTGGATGATGTTGATGAGATTCGCTCCCATATCCGACTGAGAGCGAGAGGGAGGCGTCACACGGAGTTGCGGAAGGATGGACCGCTTGGTGAACTTGCTCGCATGGAAGGCGATGACCAAGCGGATGGACAAGAAGTTGTAATTCGGCAGGCTGTCCAGCGGCCGTGGAGTGAGAGAGATGAAGAGGAGGATAAGGATGGTACGGATGAAGAGAACTATGAGGATGAAGACTTTGAGGATATGTATGAACGGGAGATTGAGGATGACATGTTCAGCGACTTGGAGCTGCTGCCAAAGGATATCACCAATATGATTGATGGGAATGATGAACATTACGATATCACCCATTTTCAGTGAAGTCTGCGGAGATTCTGAACTTGTGTGGGTTAGTTTCAGATCGCTGGGATGATCGATTTCGTGGTTCTTTCGGAAGAAGAATCAGTAAAATTTTGAGTAATGTGAAGGGTTGTGGGACCGCTGGTATGTGTGTTGATCAAAAGCTTTTTCCGCAAGCTCGACTTCATGGAATATGCAGCTCAACTACGGGCGTCTAGTGTCTAGGCGACAAGTGAACTCATATGAGGCTACTTTTAACTTGTTTTTTCTCGACGTGCGCTTGCTCAACAAGAAGGAAAATTATATTCTCGCCACCGCTGTTGACTTCTGCGTTGCGGAAGGATGGAGTTTAGTGAGATCTGCACGTCTTTTCCAGCCATTTTTAGAATGTCTAAAACAGAATCTCTTTTGACCAACCTCAACACGTTGTGTGTGTTGATATCTTCGAAATCAAAATCCCTGTTTAGAATGTCAACCGAGTATTAAAACTTTCTTGGATTTTTATCTAAGTCCTGTGTATTCACAACTGCTACCGCAATGTTTTGCCAGGTGTTATTTCTGAGGGCATGTGCGTTAAAGAAATGATGTCAAAACCTACTTTGTAAAGTTTCGATTTAATAAGGTTGTCCGTAAAATAACGCGCTGTTTTTTTTTTTTTTTTTTTCATTTGCCCACAAAATCGCTGGATGCGAAGTAAACGGGTTTTGCGGACTGACCTCCAGAAGGGTGCCTGCCCGCAACAAACGCAAGTCTAGTACATCGTTGTGCCGCCCGGCAATCACGTGCACCTGCGCGAATGCTCGCTGAAGCGAATATTGTAGCTCGCCACAAGGATAGGATGGTCCTCAGTCGAAAGAGCGAGGTGTTTCGTCTTCTTGACAGGCTGAGTGGGGCCATTTGGAGAGGATCGCTTTTTAGAAGCTTCTACTTGTCTATCTTTCGCGGTTGCTTTGACGGCATCTGTGGCAGATCCTGTCGCGCTTTGATCCGTTGATGGACTCTGCGCAGATGAAGCGATAGGGGCGTCCATGAAGCATATCGATACGATCCGTGCAGTCTGAGACTCGTTTGTGCTGATGAAAAGAACGGAAAACCCACTTCGTTTTCTTTGAAGACGGGTCGATCCGGCACTGCTGTGATCAGGAGGATGTGAGACTCGTGGAAAACTCACATGCCCCCAGTTTTCGGTATGATGTGAGTTCCGCCAAACGCGTTGTCTGAAAAAATTTCGTTTAGAAAATATGAGCAAACACGCTGCCAAAACAAGCGTTTTCGTGACTTTACGGACAACCTTAATATATATATATATATTTTTTTACAAAAAAAAGCTGGCCTCATATGAGGCAAATCGCTTGTCCTAGAGCTAGTAGCTAGTTAAGACTCTTGAAGGAAAGAGAAACATTTCCCTTCTGTCGGGGATATTGAGTAAACTCTCCCGAAAAGTTCGAGGGCGCGAGTTTGAGTCAAGCCATGTACAGAACCACGAGCTAGCTGCTGGAAGCCGCAGGCGTATGTCCCGCATGACCGTCGGCCAAATAATACTGTGGCTCCATGGGCATTAGAGAGATTGGCAACGAAGCTTGAAACTATCCTCAGCGTCTTAGCTCACGTTACGCGCAGTGATTGGAGTGTAAGTGTCCAAGCCGGTGCCACGATGCGCGAATCGCGGAACCAACACGCAACGGTTTGGTGTAGGAAATCCAAGTCCACAAGGAGCATGCCAACATTCACCATTCACAGGAGGGGCCCAAAAAAGAATCAAACAAAAAATAAATTCAATATGCATTCCACATTTTTCATGGCTCTTGTTCATGCCCAGCACCCCTCCTCGCCACCCACCTGTCGTCACACACCAACGTCCGAACCAAGGCGGAACTAACGTCTTCGTCGTAATGCCCAACTCCACTGAGCGCCGTCAGCTGCGCAATCGCCGACTTTTGCGCCCTTCTTTCCGCCAGTCTGAAACCTACGCAGACTCGTGCTACCCGGAAACGACGGAGGTCACACCTGATGAAACACCCGCCGAACCCACGGGCTCATCATCCCCTTCGCCTGAGTCCGCCTTCGAATGCAACGTTTGCTTCGACGTTCCGACCGGACCAGTCGTCACGCCGTGCGGTCATCTTTACTGCTGGCTCTGTTTGTACAAATGGATGCGCCAACGCGCAGACTCACCACAATGTCCGGTCTGCAAAGCTGGCGTTGACAAGCGCTCCGTGATTCCCATCTATGGTCGTGGGCGAGCCGAGGATAGCGACCCGCGCGAGCATGCCGCGCCGGAAGAAGACGTTCCGCCGCGACCTTCAGGGCACCGCGCCACACCGGCAGGCCAGACTCAAGGCATGCACCCGGGCAACCCCTTCGGAATGCAACACACCCCTTTTGGACGTATCAACCCGTACGGAGCTAACTATGACAATGTTTCTTTGTCCACATTTGGCCTATTTCCGTCTCTCTTTGGTCTGCAGATCGCCTACCCGCAGGTTAACGAACCGCCCAGGGAGGAACTTCCTGCAAATCCAGATGATGGCATGTCCGAGCTTGGTAAGTCACGAAATCACATTTTAAAGCATTTCTTAAATATTTGAGGTCCTCGACGTTTCTGAATATCGAAGTCCATCTAGCGCGCTTTATGAAGATGATCTCAAGAAGCCGGATACTAACCCGATATGAATGAATGTTTGCCATGCGATACAACCACTACACTGCCTGACTGCCCCATTTCTGTCACTGCGCACTTCAGTTGCTCGAGTTTTCTTGCTTCTTTCAGTGTTTATTGTAATCATCATCACAACTTTCTGAGGAGCTCGGTTTTGTTTTCGGTCTCGATCCGTCACTTGGCTCATATTTCCACATTGCTCATGCAACTATTGCAATGCAAGTACTGCTTCGTAATCCGTCGTGAGGCGACGGACTTACAGCGCAGTCCGTGTTTATATTCCGTGAGGCCATTCTCCCTCCTCCTATGCACGCTTTAGATTTGCGGTGTTTCGCAAAACAAGTACCTTTTCAGTTGCGAGCCACCGGCTTACCTGGTGGACATTCATCGATTTCAAGTCGCCAGATTAAGATTTTTCAATATCGTTTCGCTTTTTGACATTGGATTTGGAAGAACTGCATGTCTTCTTCTGCCACTACCCTATATTTCTTCTGCGAAAAGTGCTCAAAGCATTGCATGATTTCCAGTACTCGCAACCGCAGAGGCCGCCAACCCACCGCTAAACTCCTAGTATATTCGGATATTCACAATAAACAGAAAGTCAGCACACAATGCTTGGGTCAGTGTTTAAATAAAAGGCTTCCTGTCGTCTTGTTTACCGGATAATTATTTAAAACACGACTGACATCGCAGTCTTATGCAACTATAGTGATCTGAATCGGATAGTTTCGGTTCCGAAGAACCTCAGATTTGCCCACAATTAAGACATGATCGTTGTTCGCGTCAAACACAAGATTAGACGTCTTTGACCGGAAGTTGACATCTACGTCAATAGTCCTCGTCAGCGGTTTCCCTATCCTTTGCAGACTAATATCTACCATTTTGCTGTATCCGACCCCGTCAGTACGAGATTTCCTCGCATTCACTCGCCAAGTTACAGTGCGCAGTTCAACTTCAGTAACTTTGGTCCAATTCTCACCATTCATGTGTACTTCCTTGAATTGGATATTGCCAGACCAACGTCTTGGCGACTCCTCTAAGCTTTGGAGGTGTGCAATCTTTTGCTGCATGCCTATAATAACCTCTTCCATACCTTCACTAAGACTGTTCAGCTTCGTCTGAAGTTGCTCCAGCAGCTCGGAATTCTGAAAATGAGAAAGACTATTCCTAGCAACAGCACGTATTTCCCCCCAGTCTGCAACGGTAGTGGCCACATTAGCAAACGGCACGGCAGGATCGACGACAACAAGCGAGCAGTGGTCTGCACTTCCAGTCTTCAGCAGACCTAGCGCAATACTTTGCTCAACGGCACCGTGATTGTAAAGCACAGGCCAGGAAAGGAAGGATCGCGGCATGGCGTCATCAGCGACAACTTCCGAACCTGTCCCACTCTGAGATGAAACAAGGGAAAGGAATCTTCTAAATATCGTCGCATAAGAATCCGGCGTTGGTGGGGATACAGGAGCACCCAAATAGGCTTCCAACATGAGCAGCTCCAGTAGATAATCCCCAGGTCGGTTTTCTGAAACCATAAAATCGCTTGTAGCCCGCCATTTCTTTGCAACTCGAACCATATCTTTATACAATGGACTTTGCATTGCAATAAATCCAACTCTCAGTAATGCACAGGATGTCTCCACATGTATTCCTCGTTCATCCATAGCTGGGAACTGCCCACGAGCATTGCTTCCCACACCTGAAGATCTTTTTTCTGTATTTGAGCTCTGTCTCCCGATTCCACCTTGCATCGCGAGCAACTCCTTGGGCCCAGAGTTTAGTGCACCTGCAGCAAAAAGTCGTACTGAGACGCCTTCGAATGAGAAATGAATCGCCAATCCTCGGTCGTTGATATCTGCAAAACGAATGCCTTTCGCAGAAGTAAGCGCGTCAAGCATTGGTTGCAGGTGACTCTCAAAATAAGATGTTGCAGAGAATGTAGCACCAAATTGCGCGTAGACGTCCAGCGACATGTCACCCGCAATTAAAGTGCCTTTTCCAAAACCACTGCCAGCATGCAAAGAGACATGCGAAATATTTCCCGCACGAAGAGTGTCATCGATTGTGTCGACAAGAGAAGATAGCGTGTTGAGGTCAGAGGGCGAAGGACGTAACGATGTGAACAAAGAATCCCAAGATTGGCCCCATGGCGTCTCAACAGACGCTGATGACGTCTTTTCGAGCATCACTGGATGGAGATGCGGAAAAAATGATCAGAATGCGCTCCGTTGTTACAAGCACTGTCGCTGAGAAGATTGCAGAACGAATGAAAGTGAGTTGTTTGGATCGGATTAATACAGATGGATGCGACTGCGCCTTCACTTCACTACATTTCGGACCTTTCGAAGGCGGGAGGAGGCACCTTTCAAAAACATGTAAAATTCTTCGACAGCGGTTTCTGTTACAATAAAATTAAGAACAAAAAACTAGTTCTTTGATCGTACCAGCTAGGGTGACCCCAACGCGCCTTGTACAGTAATAGGCTAGTACAGTACCCGTGGGTACTGTACAAGCTTATCTAAGGGCTCCACAGTGAAAACCCAATGCCACGGAGAACAACTTCTGCATGCACGGCTCTGGGGGTAGATGACATTGGTCAGAGCCTGGTAGCAGGAAAGCACGATAGAGGTTCATGGAATTCGTAATAAGGGAAGAAAACAGAGAATGTCAATGAAGCAAATCCATTTTCAGAAGACGTTTCGCATCTTTGATAATCGGTGAAAAGACAACCTGTGAAAGGGTGCTTCTCTCTCTTGCGAATCAAACGTGTAACGTGTAACCTGTAACCTATTGCGGGGCGGGGG